CTTATATACACATGCATATGTAGTAAGTCTGTATGCCTGTGATGTGAATGAATGAGCGCCACTCGTACTCTCAGCTGTTTTTATAGCGCCGGCAAGTTTCGAAACAGCTGCTGGCTGGCTGTCGTTGGCATAGTTGGATGTGCTAAGGTGAGGTAGAGGTGGAAGCGTGCTACATTCATACATACATTGGCATTGTGTTTGGTTTGCTTGAGTCACAGATTGCAGCTTTTTGCGTCGTGTCTAAAATGTTAACCGTTGCTTGAAGTACGAACATTCACAGGCAAATGCTACATACATACATACATATACGCAAGCAGAGAAGTGTTGTTTTGGAAACAAACCTTGCTATGCACATTTTCCAAATCATTTTAATCATTGATTTTGTGTTGAAATATCCAATTTCTATTTAAATATCTCAAGAGAAACATTTTTCTTCACCTTTTCATTTAAAATGTTTTGTAATTGAAGAATTATTAACGACTAACACTTCTTGTCTTGTTGTAAAAAAAAAAAATATTAAATATATATTTATGAAATGAACGAAACATAAATTTCTTAAAATTAACTTTTTCATCTGATTTTTTGTTTACAAATATGCATACTTATTTAAAGATGGCATTGCTGCTGCTAATCACGTAGGCTTTCGGGCAGTGCGTACCCCACGAGAAATGTACAAGTTTTCAGCTGTAAACGTCACGCATTTCTCATATGTCCCCTGCTGAGGACAACATCACCCAAGTGCAATGCGCACTTGCAATTTATCCAACTGCCCGAAGTTGACCTCGAGTTTTATTATCTCCTCCACTGTAATTTAACTTTAAAGAAATGTTTTTACACTTACATTTTGGTTTACAATAATTTGGCTTTCCTATAAAGATAAGGTTTTGTCATTGTTTCAAAAAACGCGTCGAATATTCTTTGCCAAGCCCGGCGCCTTCACATGACCCCAATATAATAGTGCAGTGGAGTTATCTAGCACGGTCTTTGAGGCCATGTCACCGGTCAACGACATGAGGTAATGACATGTACATATGACATGCAGCGCATCCTTGTTAGGACCAAAGGTCGTCCACCGCAACATCCTTCAATTCATACAATATCATAAACAATGGCTCTTTAGCGTTCTGAATATAATCGGCTTTTAGCACTAGATAGAAAAATAATATCCTGGAAAAGTTCTGCTCGGCTTATGCATTGACGTTCTTCGCTTTGCTGGCAAACCTGTAAATGTCACGCAACGCAAAAGAGTTGCTTCTGCCAATAGATTAAAGGTGGAAGTACCTTCAGAAAAAGCCGGAAACTAGATTCTCAACACTCAGCCAAATTTTTATTGTCATTCTTGTACCATTGTTGCTCTCAACTACTGTATGCAGGTACAGTATGTGGTTGTGTTGTTGTGGTGCAGGTACAGTATCGTACAGTGTGCTGTCGCAGATTTCAGAAGTAGTGAATGGGTAGAGTGTTGTTGCAGCCAAAACAAACTTTGGTCGAGAGTATGTTTCACTTGATATTTCCTATCAGATGGTGCCGCCAGCGCCTTCCCCATTGAAAAAGTGTTTCATTACGATATGGTATGTACAGGCGTACAAACGCGAATACTGGCAAATGAGCAAGTGAGAGAAACAAGTTTACAGCTGTTAATTAGCGTGCTCAGTTGCTGTTTTCCCATGCGGTGTGGACTGTGGATTTCCGTTTCGAATCCACTAGGTCCTCATCATCCACTTCCAATATTATAGCCAAACCTATTGGTAATTGAAACATATTGCATTTGCTTGTGTGTATTTTGGATGAGAGCCAGTCAGAGAGACGGAGAGTGAGCGTCGGCGCTGCTTCATGCAAGAGCGATGAAAGCAAACAACTTGCGTTTGGCCGCTCTTTGGTAAATATACTTTGGATGAAAATTTTTTACGACACGGCGGCAAAAAAAGTACAGTCATCACAAAAACGTAAGCCATGCGGCAGCGTAGTAGTGGCGACGATATCGTTACGGCACAAGCTTGAAATGCAGCGTTGCATCCATATCCATGTGCGACGTAGTACGGTTCTGCGACAGAGCAAGGCCGGATAAACAACAACTCAAATAAGAGCAGAGCGGTTGTAGTTATTTGTGCTGTTGGCTGCAAGCTTATTGGCAGGTCAACTAACTAGTCGATCTATGGCTTTTTGCTTTGTTTACCTTCGCACAGACACACTCGCACCGGAGAATGAATTGTATCTGTATGTCGATACGCTATGCATGTAAATACATATGTGTATAGATATGTATGTAGCGTATAAATATAGTGGGGGGTGATGTGGGTAGACCTCAATCGTAGCGCTTCGTCTGTTTTCAGCTGACTTAATCAGCTGCAGATAATGTACACTTACATACATACACATTGTTTATTCGTAATACGCGCCGTTATATACATACCTACATATGTACATACATATGTACGCAGATAACATAGTACATAACATATACTATCCATATTATTTTTGTTTATTTATTTTTTGGTTTCGCAAATATTTTTTATTGTTTTACCGGCGTTTCGCTTTGGCAAGCTCCTACAGCCCCACAAATATTTTTATAAATTTGTTTTTCTCATCCATTTCGTCGTACACACACATCAGATGTGCATATTTATGAAACTCAACCCTAGCTATCTACCCGAGTATTATGCGAGGAGCTCGATTAAATTTTTTTTTTTTTTATTTTCCAAAAGCTGCAGCAGCAGAACAAAGCTTTTCAATTTAGTTTGCCAAAATTTAGTTTGCATTTCAATGATTCTTGCATAAAAAAATACGCATCAAATTCGTTCAAACTGCTCGAGCTCGTTCGTGCAGGCGAAATTATAAAAGTGGGAGCAACGGAATAAAAATACAACAATTAACGAGTATTTTGTTTTTGCTAGAGCGTAGCGGCAGTCAAATTTTTTTTTAATTTTTAGACTTAAAAACGCATGAAATATTCGTTCCACTCTTTTTCACGACATTAGTTAGCATTACGTACAACTAAACGGAAAGTCAAGGTTCGAGTCTTAGCTCGACTAAAATCCAAAATTGTAGAATCGGGGTCGCTCTCGGCGGGGATTGTTAAGACCTCCGAGGGTATTTCTGACATGAATATCGAAGCTCTTCATAAAATTGAATAAATGGAAGACCCCTCCATTCGGTGGCAGACTACACATTGGATGAGGAGCTCCCCTAAGATCGCTTCAGCGGTTACCAAGCAAAAATTATTTACCATTTTTTTAACAATTCTTATTTATTCAAAAAAGGTCTTGTATTTTTATTTAAATGTAAAAAATATGTATACATCATGATAAAAAGAAAACGAATTCCATTTAAATTGAAATTAGTGCCAAAAATATGAAAAAATAATCTGTCAGTAATAATAATATCGTTTACTATGGTTGTAATATGACGAGGTCTCCTTCGTACTGCTTTTAATATTTTTTCGCGTTATTCTTGTTAGAAATGTTCTGACACTTTATAAGGAAATGGAGTGTCAGGCCTCTTGCACTATGCCTCAAAGATCATTATTGTTAGACGGATACCTACTGGCCATCGCATCCAAGAGGCATTATTGACCTGAAACCCCTTTTAGCTTTTTTGCTGGTATGCTTTGTGTTATTGACTTGTTGTATGACCCAAATTAGTGGCATATTTTCAGAAGCATACGGCAGCATTACTTCTTCGAATATTTTGATGTACTCTGTTGTAACCATTGTAACATCCCGATATCATGCTACTGAAACTTATTTGCTCCTACTGTCTGTTGAAAATTTTCCGAATATGGTGGTATTCTAACATAAGATCGAGAACTCTTTGCACCGAATAAAGAAGTACTTTACACTCATCTGTCCACAGAATATTTCCAATTGGATGTTGTTGTTGTAGCAGTTCGCTAACTCCGCTAAGGGACAGGATCAATCAATCGTAAGTCACCGAGGTGATATAACGGGAGGTCCAGGAATCGTGCTGTTTCGACGGGATCGGACCAGCGGGAGAGAGGGGCCGAGCCTGGATAGGTACAAGTTTAACCTGCTCCTCTTGAGGCTGCTCGAGCTCGTTGTCTACAATGGGTGGTGGTTTTCCTCCGAGCACACCATTCACGGGAAGGGAATCTTTGAAGGTTTTGACTCGCTCCTGGTGAATGGCGTTCAGTGCCTGTATGTACGCCGTACTTTCCAGCGGTTGTTGCACGTATTGCTCATATCAAGAACTCCATTTCTGATGTGCTTAGGTGGTGGTTCAGCTTCAAGGCGCCTATTGGGGTGTTTCCTACGATAGCATCCCAATAGGAATTGCTGGCACAGCAAAGTATTATGCTCCTTAACTCGAAGCATAGATGCTTCACTGTGCAAGTGATGCTGCGGCGACATCAGAGGGTGGGCTGTTACCTTTTCGGCGACCTAACCTCGTTTAGATCAACAGGTAACATTTCCAATGGGTCGTTCTAGGTGGTTTTTAGAAAACTGCAACCGTTTGCAGACATTTCGTGGTCTCTGGGCATTTTTCACTTCTGCAGACGACATGAACGGAGATTTATTTATTTCCCACACTATGCAACTGACCTTTGCGGACACTTTTACTGTTTTTCGGCCACTTGCTTCGGTTTCAAACCGAATACTCTTTCCCTGCGCAACTCACAATCTTTCAAACTTCTGTTATTAATTCTAGTTTTTCGCCTTTACCGTGTTTAGCTAGCACTAGAGGAAGAAAGTTCCCAAAAAATAATACCTTTGCCAACAGCAAATTATCGTATCAAATTTTGATTTGCCGAATTTGTGACCTTTATGTTAATTTTAATTAATTATTGGAGCTATTTTTTTGAAAGCAACTGTATGTAATAGATACGTAGATACACGTATGTACATGCATACCCAAATTATACGTTTTGATTTTATTCTTTTGTAACTCCACAACGTACAAATGGAGGTTTTTGTGTAACTTCTAAATTCTTGTGATTTGATATTATAATAATTTTAGAATTTTTATTGTTTTTATTTTTGCAGGCTGCAATTTTACAGCAAACCTCTCAGTATATTTATGAGCTGGAAGACCAGAAGACACAACTTCTGAATCAAAACAGTCAATTGAAGAGACAACTTGCTCTACATGAATCGAATACCGCGGGTGGCTCAACTGGGACTGCTGGCGATACGGCGACGACCACTAGCAGTGGTGAGGCGTTAAGCAGTGGCTGCAGTACATCCATGAAAAAGCGCAAACTCACTGATAATATAATCAACCTTCAGACAATAAGCGACTCCTCCGATGAAGGTCTTGGCTCGATGTCACCAGAACCGACAACTCTTCTCAATGCTACTGGCGCCAGTGTCAATGCGAAGGGTCAAGTGATTATTGCCCATAACGCTGCCTCTACCAAAGAATTAAACGAAATGAAGAAACAACTAGAAAAGGAGCGACGCATGCGCACCATGCTGGAAGAGGAATTGCAAATGATAAAGAGACAATTGTATTCTGTTGCAACGGCACCGCCAGCATCCACATCCCCCTACATTCCACGTGAAGTAATCGAGCATACAGACAATTTGGTGCGGGAATCTATGGATGAATTGCCGGCTGGTACTGTGTCCTATGTGGAAATCGATGAAGTCACCGGACAACGACAGGTGGTTGTTTGTTCGAGTATTGAAGAACTGGAAAGCGAGGCGGCAGCCGCAGCTGCAGAGATCATCACCGAAGACAATGTACAGGAGGAAGTTATCCTCTCATCCACATCGTCAACCGAATCTGAACAAGAAGTTAATGCTATCGCAAAGGCTTACGCTGAAGGCTCCTCGCCATCAGCGGCTGTACTGCAGCCAATACTACAAGCTGCCATCAAGGCTACACCAAAAGTAGAAGTAGAACGCATACAGGAAATCATCAAAGTGAAGACAGAGAAAATAGATCAACCTAGCGGTTTGACGCGCTCACGCCAAAATCTCGAAACAATCGTCGAGGCAATACGGCATTTAGAAGGGGATCATCTATTTGCTGATGGTGAACAAAAACTGCAGCAACAGCAAAGATCACAAGAAGCACCCTTGGCGCTGACCACAAAAGTGCAACGCGCCACTTTGGCCGAGTTGAGTCCTTACCTGCAAATCAAAGGCAGCAAACAAGTAACAATAGTACAGCAGCAACCAAGCCAGCAGAAGGATAGTACTGTAGGCAGTATCATGCCCACCGCCATTTACAAAGTGCAAACGACTGCAGCGGGAGCGAGTAATTCGGGTTCAGGACAAGGTGCACAACAAGTTACAATCACAACGACGGCACTGAAGCAGGTTCGGCCAGGTGTCATTGTTGCCAAGCAGCTGTCTTGATTGCATTCAACTGCAAAGGCGTCCCAAATCGCAGATGTAACAGCTACAGAGGTAGGAGTTAATGAAAGTGCAGCTAATGCGCTACCGCCAGAGGCAAGAGCGACAACGGCAATTGCAACCGGCTGTTTCCCGAAGAAAAATAATTTATTCAAAGAAAAATCGTCGACGAAAATTCCAAACAATCTGGTCACCCAACTAGTGAGGCGAAAACTCAAATCGAATCAACGGGTAAAACTCGTTTCAACCAACAACAATATTAACAACCATTTGAAAATAGATGTACCAGTCGATAAAAATTTTGCCAGCAGACCAACCCAGAACACAACAGCTAAAATACATATAACCCATGCAAATAAACCGGAAATTTCTGAAAAATCTATTAAGACTGTTCATAATACCGAATTCGCCATTGCACCAACAACAACGGCTACTAAAAACAAACTTTCCACTGTTGTCTTATCGCCATTGGGTGGTCGGGCGACAAAGCCAGTCAAATCTGTCAAATATTTTCGGAATTTGACTTCCGCAGGAAGCAATGGTACAGCTGCTGCTGTTGTTGTGGGCAAATTGAAAGCAACTGCAACTACTCCTACACTAATTACTAATGCTACAACTACAAATACTACTATTATAAATATAAATAGTAATAACAAACATAATAATTATAAAAATAATAATTTAAGTTCTTGTAATATTTTACCTAAGTTAATTAAACACCAGCAAACATAAAATCTTAATGTTACCAACATTGTTTATGGTAATAAAGCGAAAATATTAATAATAACAACAAAATAATGCAAATAAGGTCTATGCAATAGCAGAACAAATACAGCTAACTTTAATACCCAAATCCAGAAGAGAAACAGGGAATAAAACAAATGGCGAATTGAAAAAAAAGTTAATTCATTTATTCAACTGGTTTGAAAGAGAGCTATGCGAATGACAGATTTATAAATATGAAACTATATCCGTTACCCCAACTAGTAAGAGTTGTGAATAATGCACAAACGCCGCGTTAAAATACTAATGATAATGTAAAAATCGACTACGCTATTTTAACACATTTTGTTTTTCACAATCAATCTAATATTTCATTAATAAAATTTGCCAGTTCAAAACCAATGCAAAATTTAAATGCATTGAAGTTTATGATTTTTAAATTTCTACTCTAAGCAAAATAAATGGCGATGTTTTTAAGGAATTTCAACTTTTAATTCACATTTTAATTTTAGGATCATGCATCTCGGAAACATTGTTTAAAAATTTTTTAAACGGTTGCAAGAAAAAGTAATCATTTACATTAAATTTTACAAAAGGCATTAACTCTTGGTATCACCATAATAAAAAACTTGTTTTAAAAATGGAGCTTTCGCAACTTTTTTCGATTTGCACAATTCCCGAACCCCAATGTAATTTTTTCTTTAGTTTTGTTTTTGTAAAAATTTTCATTATACAAGTAGGAAAACCAAAATTAAGCTATACATTTTAAACATAATTAAAAAGGTGATGTGTTTAGTTGGAATTTGTATTATTACACACACACGATCGCGCGGGCGATATTTCCTCATTATTATGAAATGGTCAAAGTGGCTGAGCTGTTAAATATCTTTTAGTATAGAATAAATGGAAAGGAATACGTAACTTAGTCAATTCGTATGCAGAGTTCCCAAAAACAAAGGACTTTTCTTTATTTATTTGAATCGCTATCCAGAATGTTTTCCGATAAATCCTTCAGGAGCCAGTTGGTATTTGTAGTTTTTGCAAAATGACTTTTATCCCTTGATATATGTATACCTATATATATGCACACATAAATACATATGTAAAAATACATACTTTTTCTAAATGACTTGGTAATAAAATGTGAGACTATGCTAGTTGAAGGTTGCTTCCCGAAAGTTAAACTTTGATTGACCTTATAACAAGATCGTCTTATCTGTCAAGTTTTGTCGAATGACATGAAATTTGTGAAAAATTAGCATAACAATTAAACTTTAAGAAAGAAGACTTAGAAAAAATTTTGTTTAGAAAATTATTACAGTAATTACTTAATATGAACTATTTATAAATTTATTTACATATGTATGAAGTACGTATAGTGTGTGTACATATAAGGAAATTCGAAAGCGGTCTATGTTGAAAATTCAATTATATTGTAAAGAATACGCCCTTTAATAGAAGCATGTAAAGTCATAGTTTTATTAAAAATCGTGTTGAACATAAGTTTTCTGTAAACTCTATGGATTTTAATACAACAAATCCAATATTGAACTTTTGCTTATTCTCGTATGCGGGCATCCTTGTGAAATAGTGGAATTATTTTCGATATAAGAAATTGGTATTAACAATGGATTCTAATATTTATTCGCTTTAAAATTTACGCTATTTCTTTGATGCTTCGCCGATTAAGAAACACATATACGTATGTACATATATACTATGTGGCAGAAAAGTCTCCTTGCCTAAACTATTTCTGACCATTGCCTCAATTTTATGGGATTACATACAGTCCATTTCAACTTTGACTTGCTAACTGTATCTTTAACTAAATAAGCAATAATAAAAACCCCAATGTCAAAGTACAAAACGAAATAGATAAACAAACAAACAATACATATGCATACGCAATATATTTAATTAGTTACATACATATATGTTATACAAAATATGTTCTGCATTGAAAATTCATCCAAACAGTAGGAAGATCACTCTGGGCAACTCAATTTCTACCTTATATTGGGTATATTTGTACATATACATATATATATATACATATATATGTATGTATGTCAAATATTCTATTACTATTGAGAAAATTTTGATTTAGTATTAAGCACTCAGTACCATCGCATTAGTTTCGTTACCTTACGTGTTTCTTATATGTGTGTATATGCTGCAGACGAATAGTTGGAAAATTGAACAGAAAAGAAACTCTTCTGATATAAACAAAAAAGGAATATTCATCAATAACTCTTATCAACTACATGCTAGGTATTTACTAGTACCCATTCATCGCCCTGGTCTAACCATTTAAAATACATATTGGATATACGAGTATGACTATTTACATACATATGTCTGCATATGTGTATTCATAAACATATAGACGCATAGATTATCTAAAGATACAAAATACCAATTAATCTAAGCTATAAATTACGAAGTGTGAAAGAATAAGCTGAGAAAAGGGTTTAGAAATGTATTTTAGTTTAAGTTTAAATTAATTAATATTTTTATTTACTTTTTTGTTCTGTTGACTGTGAAAAAATAATTATCAAAAAAAAAAAACTAAAAATTATAAACTACAAAACGAATATATATTTGCTTGCATATAGATATAGCCGTATAGCCGTATACATACATATGTATATATGTATGCGCAAATGTCTGTATAAAAAAATTAAGTATGGGTTAAGTAAGTTTTATGTATTTAATTTTATGCTATTTTTTAGCTTCAAGCTAATTTATGAAAAATAAATGAATTATTTTAATTTTCCTCATATATACATATATGTTTTTTATCTATTTACTACGCTTTTGTGTGCCTACAAGACCAAGAGAAACTTCTTTCAGTTTTATTTAAGAAAATCAAATAAATTTTTTTCCAAGAATTATCCTGTGTTGTCCTTTTATTTTCTCTGTTTATTTCATATTAATTTCTATGACACTTTTGTTTGTGTAATTTTTGAAATTTAAAATGTATTTAAAATGTACATTTGTAAAAGAAATATATATTTTTTTCTTATATTAATTTCTGAGTTTTAGAAATAACATCGAAATATATATACATATGTATGTAATACGATTAATCATATTTCGTTAGATCTACATACATATGTATGTATGTACTTGCCGCTGGTACTAACATCAAGGTATCGGAGGTAATAAATATTTAATGGGTAATTTAAAAAATTCCACAAAGGATCTCACCAAAAATGTCATTACTTAAAACTATGTATGTACATTCGAGTATGTATGAATGGTAATTTCTCAAAATCTGATTCCACACAATTAAATTGAATTGCGAAAAGCTACTAAAAAAAATTAAAGCTAAGAAAAAAATTAAAATTTTCAATAGCAGGAAAAGCTTAGTGAATAATTTGCCAAACTTAAAATATTGAAGTTTTCACCTGCTTTGGTCGGTGGGAGAAATGTCAGTAAGAATTATCTAGTAACGAAATGCCAAAATTGGGCTGTCTCTGTGCAAAATTTACTGACTTTTTACCTCAGCAAATACCGCTCAGTAAAAGTCGGTAACAACTGTTATTGGCCATCACCTCACCGAACAAAGCTACAATCTCCTGCATCCCTTGATATGCAATTTTATGTACATATTTTTATACTTAAGCATAATTATATAATTAATGCTCCGAAGATGGATAGCAGAGAATGTAAATAGAATGTACATGTTAACATTTATCTTGAATAGGTTTTTATCAGTTATACATTTATTTTGCATGGAAACTCTCATTATTGTACTCATTCTACTATTTTGAGCACAATTCTGCTAGTTCCCTGGTAAATTGTGGGGAACAGGGCTCATCGAAATCTGGGGAGAAATGCATCCGTAGAAAACTGGCTTCGACTGCAAAGCGGAACAAAATGACAAAGGCACGCCCTGGACCTTTTCGTTCTACTTACATTCTCTGGTTAACATTTCCACAAAATAATACATACATACATACATACGAGTAAGGGTCTAAAAGTTTTCAAACTTGTAATGTAGTAAATCATAACAGGTGGCCATGTTGATCAACCTTGAATTGCATTTTTTTTATTCCTTCATTAGAATTTAATGTATTAAAATATGATTTTGCATAAAAATTTATTCAATTTTAAGCCACAACCCATTATAGTAATATTCTTGACCATTCCGATAAGCGCAAAATAAAACATAAAGACTGGAGCGCGCAGAATTGAATAGATTGTTAAACGTACATATATATTTATAAATACATGTTGATACTTAACAATAATAACCAATTTGAATAGCTAATATCATACATAACTCGCTTCGAAAGTTTAATGGAATAAAAAGTACGTAATACACTGAAAATGCTTGTACATATTTACATACATATATATATATATATATATGCATTTGTTTGAAGAACCATAATATCGTTTGTATCGTTGAGTAACATTTTTTCAGATGCTTAAATCAATATATACATACATACATACATACATTCTCATAGGACAAGCGATCCTCGTATATAAGATAAGTCTGCATATGTTTAATTAACCAGCTAGAACAGTTGCAAATGTTCAACATAAAATTAATAGTAATTTTTAAGTGCACAAATGCAAACATACATACATAGATACGACATGTGCGTACATGTATGCATACATTCGTATATAATTACAACTCTTACATACCCTTACATTGACATGTGTATGTAAAACTATTTAAATTAAGTTTAAATGAATAACGTAATTAATTATATATATATATATATATATATAGTACACACATATATATGTATATACAGTTTGCTTACAATTTTGAATGCAAGAAAATAATACGCTGAAAAAAGTTTATATGATTGATGAATTGTTTGAATGAAATATATAGATGCATACATACATACATACATACTTAATAAATAAACTAAATAAAACGTCATTACTTTATTATAGACAAATACAAATAGTACATTTAAATATGTGCACTGTAGTTTAACTGATTTCATATGAATTGTAAGTACAGGGTGAACTAAATAAGACAATTCAAACACAACTGTTCGGTGAGCTCCTGCACACTAACAATTTACGTTCTCTGCAAAGGGCCAATAATATTTGAAACGAGATATTAAATCGATAATTGTCAGCGCCAATCTATAGTTCAACATAAATTTGCAGAATGACTCCAAATCTCACATCATAAAAATCGGGTTTATCTCTCTTCATGTGGTACTTACCTTGCCGCCCATAGGGACTTCAATATATTCCTCCAAGGTACGAGGCATTCGCAAAGGAAGTGCCTTAAGGCTTCGGGTACTTGTCAGCATTTCCTGCAAAGGTCGTTAGATGTTACGTCCAACCTCCCTGCTAGCCTATATATATATAATTTTCGCTCTTTAACTGCTGAAGTGATTTTTCGAACGGTTGATGATTTTTTTACGAGGAGCCGTTATTTCATATTTGAAATACACTCGGAGGGGTGGACATTCCCTGCCGAGGGTCGACCGCAATTAGAAAATTCAACTTAATTTTTTGTTTAAATGAATTTTCCATAACTTTTGGATGTTGGTGGCACCGGGATGTGTACCCGAGCCTTCCGAATGTGAGTACGCGGTGCCTGTCCAATATAATACGCCCTGTAAGAAGGCTTATAACTGTAGATATATACTTTCTTTTTATATCCTTTAGCTAAGGTGACGTGGCCTTCTTTCGTTCCATCAAAAGCACATTGTCCTAGTCACATCACGCATATAGAGACTTCTCCATATTAAGTTCCACGCAGAGGTTCAGCTTTAGGCAGGTCCCTCCAACTTTTTCTTTTAACACCTTCCAGTGAGAGGCCTAATGACTTTCGTTGCCTGTAGTAGGAATGAAGTTTTGGGTTGGGGTATATTCTCGCCCACTTTTGTGGTTAATTCTATGCCCGTCCTGGCATTCAAATTGGGTGCCGCCTACGTAAGCCCATCGGCTGTGCTGTTGTCTTTACAGTCAGAAATTAGCAGCCGTGATCTAAGCGTTGAACTTGTGAACGCTAGCGGTTTCTTCCAGTTTTATCCTCCCTCTTCCATCCTGAATATCGGTCAGCTGCTCCGGCGACAGAAACTCCTTAAGGAAGTGCTCGGGAAGCACTGCTGCTCTGACAGCTTTTATAGCATCGTCATAGTTCTCCAGAGCATATTCTGCCAGATGCTCCACACTTTATGGTGAAAGGTCCCTGTATTTGTCCAACTTGGTTACTTCTTTGGTGCAGTTCTTTTTGTAATTGTTGTTGTTGTTGTGCCGTTATTCAACTTGTTCGTACAACCACCTGCAAGCCGAAACCCACGTCGTGATCAAATTAATAGAAGGGAAACTATTCGCCCGCTACGGCAGCGCCCCATTCCGCACTAAGGCCACCGTTACAAACTGGGACGGCTCCGTATCGAAAATGCACCGTTATGCTACAGCTGGTTTTTTCCCCTCCTAGCCGCAAACTTACCAATGGGCACGGTCCGCGTAGGAGGGAATGTAATGCTTCATAACCCTTTCCAATCAGATCTAATGTTAGCAGACTAGTTTGGTCTTCCTCCCCCCACACCAACAGCAAGGTATCTACCATCGTGGATATAATGTAAGCTAACAGATTGTACTTAATAAATGAAACGAGCATTTAACAGAGGGATGGCAAATTATGTTCTATTTGTTTAAAAAGAAATTTTAAAAATTATTATTTACAAATCTTATTTTTAGTCCATTAAATTTCACTTACAAGTTGTTACCTAAAAGCTCTATGAGCTCACTCTCCGATTTGTGGAATGCGTCTTGATGATTTACGACAAAACGAAGGACCTAAAAGTTATATCACTTGCACATTTTATGCCTGAGCTAGTCACATTTGGGCGTGAAATAGTATTGGTAATTCCATCGTTGCCAAGAAAGCGTCAAATTACTATGGAAAAGTGAAAAATTGCATCGTCTAGACAACAAATGATGACGATTGCAGAGATCGTAATACGTATTTACGTTCTCTGTAAAAACAGATGAAAACAAACGGCGATAAATATTTTGGGCAAAAATAATATTTGTGAAATTTGTAGTTTTCATTGACAGAAATTATAATTAACAAACTTTTCCAATAAATGAGGTGTGATCATCGGTTGAGCATTTTAACATGCTAAATTATTTTAAAAAGCGAAAAGGTAACGTTAGATTAAGGTGAATGTTACATACTTAGTTGGATTTAAAATTACTGAGAAGATATTTGTTAATTCACAGATCTGCGTAGCCAAGGGATACGGCGAGATGAACCTTTTAGAAATAGTGACAACGTTGTCTCGGAAGGCAACGTAATACATAATAGGTCAGTACATGGCGCATCTGATGTTCATCGACATTCGCTAAAGTCGTCCTCTAGCTTTTGTGATGAAATACTCTCCCAGGTGGATATGGAAGATGATGGAGTTGATGGTGCAGGCAGTTGCGGTGGAAGTGTGTGCGGACTCAGCTTGGTCTCGGATGATGGTAAGGGCATTTTTCAAACTGAAGCAATTTCCCAACCAGCTTGTGTTAATTCATTCAAAAATGCTTCATATGTCAAATTCGGTAATTCAATTCAATCCAAAAGCTGGGTGGGATATGTGCTGATCATGAGGCAATCTGTAACGTTTTGGTTTATCATATGTATGCTTTTGTTTACGTGCGTAGATATTTTTCGATACAAGTCCCGCCTGGCGATGCCGATTTCGTCGATCGTGAGTGATCCTAATTGCCTAATTTACTTTGTACAATATTTAGATACCAGAGGCGCACTGCCTTTACTCAAATTTTATCTGGATATCGAAAATTTTAAAAGTGCTGCAATTGTCCAATCGAAAATAGAACTACAAAATGACCTTGAAACTTTGGAAAGTGGAGATGATATCCAGCGCTGTAACGAATTTAAAAACCAAACAAATACGAGAATAACTTTTGCTCAGGAAGATGAAAAAAACGCAAACTCTGAAGATAATAAAGATAAAGTACCTGAATTGAAAAGTTTTTACGATTTATCTATGCGGCAACCCCTCACTGACGATGAAAAGAGTCAAATTTACGCCGAAACTAATAAGCAAATCAGCCAATGTAATGAAAATACACGTACTATTGATATTAATAATACCAGCATTGTATATTCGAATAAAAATACTCGTGACTGGTCCAATGAAGATATGGATCAAAGTGGAACTAAAAAATGTGTAGGTCCAGCGAGCGTAAATGATGCAATAGCAATATACCAAAAATATTTAATTGCAAATGCAAAGCAGTTTGTAGCTCTGCCAGTAACGGTTTTGTCTGAAATATCATTAGTGTTATGCCAACGTTTGGATGATGAACAACAAGCGTTTGCGCCACACCAAACTGGAGTTATAAACATGCCGACAATTTCAGCAACATGCTTTGATGGTGCACAGAATTACGTTATGAACGCGTTAGAGCGACTTTATTTGAATGACTTTTACCAGAGCCCGTTTTACAGTAAATATAGTCTGGAGCTTATACAACATGGTCAACCAGAATTGTCGATATATGACATACTCTATAGTGAAGTAACACTTTTTTTCTTTATGGAATTCCTTGAGCAACGTGGTGAGCGCGAATGCCTGGACTTTTGGACATCGGCCATAAACTTTCGAAAAACATACGAAACAACAAATATACATTCCGAAAAAACTATGGATTCCACAATTGAGCACCCTACTAATGAAAAATCGGTCCGTTCAGATGCCCAAGCAGATGCAATGATAATTTACGAAAAGTTCTTTTCGCTGCAACGTGATAAACGCTTTTGGTTATCGGATCGGCTACGAAGTCAAGTGGAAGAACATATTTGTGCTGCTGATAGAATATCACAGTGCTTTGATTTGTCATTGCAGTTGTTGGCGAAATATTTAGAACAGAAATATTTCCAGGATTTTCTGAAATCACAGCTTTTTCAGAATTACTTAAATGAGCTTAAAACGAAATGGCGTGAACTGGAAGTTGTAGGCTCTTCGAAAGAACCCAACGCAGTATCGTCTGCTGCTGTGGGTGCGGGTGGAATTTTTGGAAAAACACTCCATCGAAAAACACTTTCCGATTGTAGCGTAGGAGCGAGCAAGCGCGAAATATCCAACCGCCACACTCATAACACACTACTTGCAATGGACAGCATTAAATTGCCACAAGCACGCATAAAATCTCTGCAACAAACAGGGAGTTCAGATTTAAATATTGATGCCCGTCATCTAACGAATCCAAACTTATTGTGGCGCCGATCGCATTCCACGGATGGAGTTGGTCTTAAATTTGGTCATATCAACGAACTAGGTCGTTACGAACGCGATTTCGAAGCAGTGGATGCTGTAGGTGGCGAATCAGGCGGCGGCGCTGGCAAACCAAACTGGTCGCTGAGTTTTAATGGTAACAAAATCAAAAATGCAATGCGGAAACTGGTTCATTTGCCAGAGGATAAAGTCCAAGAAGAGATTGCATGGCAAGTTGCTGAAATGATTATTAAGGATGTGACAAGTGTAACACTAGGGAATCACGAAATGAACTCTACGCTAACGCCTAAGAGTAGATGCAAAGACACTTCAGGTAAGGTCAGTCAATAGCTGTTGCACTGGGGTATGCTTATATATATGAGTAGTGTGAATCAGAGCGACATATTAATAAGTGCCAGAAGACATGTCCCAGATAAATATAAATTCGGCTACAACGTACTAGTTGTAAAGTGTAATGAGAGTTACGGTGACTTCAGTACAGGGATAATTTTATGTTATTATGTTTGTGTACGCAGAAGACCACAACGATTAGGAGCATTCCAATATCGGGATATAGGTCATGAACAATTTTAGTTGTTAACGTAATTAATCACAATGATTTACAACATCTTGCTTTAAAAGTTAAAATAGCTCATCACAGAGCAGTGTTTTGAGCAACTATTTATTACATTATCATTTTTTTTATTGTACTACTAATATACCAGTACTTTTGAGAACCTTCCCTTTCCTCACGAGAAACTTGCTGAGTAGTATCTAACAGCAAAACTTAAGTAATACTGCAAAATATGTTTAGAGAAACATTATTATGAAAAAATATTTAAAATAAGTTAATAATATACTCATTTTTCGAATTACTTATTTTGCTTAGAACTCAAAGCAAAATACCCTGACATTCGAATACTTGTGAATGTTTTTTATTTTTTTTTTTATTAAAAATATGTTATGATTTTCCTATATGTTTTAATAGGACTGTAACAGTCGTCAGCTCAAAATGTTCTTATGAATCTCTAATTTTCAATGACATTGATTTTTATTTAAGTCTCTTATTTTTCTTATACGAAATGATTTTTATACACATTATACAATATTATGTACATGCTATACGTTCTACCCTACAATGAATTAAGTTTACCTATACTTTGTATATATGTATGTAATTATGCCTAAAGCACAATTTTTAATTCATACAAGTTATTGATGTACAACAACAAAGTAACAAATAAATCGAATTCGCACACAAACAAATTGTTACGGACCAATTTTTAATTTGAAGAATTCTATTCAATAACGATCGAATAAATGAAATGGCGCAAGTGTTTTTCGTTTCATTAATAAAAATATAAAATAAATTCTTAGCCAACAAAGAATCGAAATCTTAATATTAAGAACATAGAAGAAGCATAAGTATATGCATAATGTAATATATATATATAATTGGGGCTTTGTAACATCTGTGGCGATTTCCGGCCAAGCTCCTACTCCAATGAGTGGTATGCGTCTTGATGTTTTCCAACAAACGAAAAGATCTACAATTTTTACTGAGCTGCCTCCGAACGGCTAATGTTTTTTAAGAGGAGCCTTTATTTCGCGTCATAAATACACTCGGAGGGATTGACATTCCCTGCCGAATTGCGAGCTCAATTAAAAAACTTAACTTAATTTTTTATTTAAATTAATTTTCTATATTCTTTGGATATTGGGATCAAGGATCGAATCCTGACCTTCCGAATGGCAATAAACACTTGGCTATTGCGGTCGCCCATACCCATATCCAAAAAAAATCTTTTGGGCTAATTATTTATTATTATTGTTTTTCTTCTATTGTATTTATTACAGTCTGTATGGTGTGCTCATAAATGCATGTACACATACACGTATTTATAATAAAGAGAGAAGTTTGTTTTATTTATATTATATTATATTAGTCTGTAAAATAAATTAAAATGAAAATATATAAACTTGTACGCATATAAATATGTATATAAAACCTCCATCTCACGGTTTGACTATCACGTTGATGTGATATTTAGGACTCTTCTTCTAAAGGTGACTCGGTGAACCATCTCAACACTCTTAGCATAGTTTTCGCAGAATAAACGCAAAAAGGGTAGATGTTGTAACAGTGATCGGTTCCACCATGCAGTGTTAGTCCTCTACTAAATGCCAAACGTATTTCACCCGGCGCTGATGCTATGGTATTTTCCAGAAATTCTATTATAAATTTGGCTTCGTGTGAATTATTTTCAGCACCTGCAGCGAGCTGGCAGATAAGTGATAGCAGACATTCAAAGGGATCTCGCGATAAAATTCGTTTCCAGTCTATATTCAGCGTAGTTTTGTTTCTCACATTTTCTGCGGTCATGTCATCCTTGGGGTCCCACCATTTCTGGTATTGGGAATTTTCTTCAAAAACTTCTCGTTTCACACGTGCGATCAGATTGCTGGTGCTTACCAATGCGCGAGCAGCGGCAGCGACAGGCTGGCGAATTTTATTGTAGTCCTGCGCAAGCAAATGCATCATATACAAAGCGCCCAAGCCCATGGCCATCAATAGCATAAGTCTACAAATGAAGATGAAACAGATAAGATCTTCAATTTATGACCGAACGTAATACATACATTGGTTAGTATTTTTTAAGCATACATATGTACATATGTATATAAATATATATATCAAAGACCAGAAACATATATTTTTAATTATAAATGAATGAAAAATTTTTATTTATTGTAAAGCTTGTTTATATGAGCATATGCCATGGTTCCCACGCATACATATGTACATATGTATGTAAATATCAGCAACAATCATGTTGTTGTTGTAGCCGTTCGCCAAGCCCGCTTTGGTACAGGCTATATCAGTCTTAAGTCATCGAGGTCATCTAACGGGAGGTCCAGGAAACGAGCTGTTTCGACGGGTTGGGGCCAGAGTTAGAGGAGGGCTCAACATGAATTGGTTTAGGCGGCATGCAAATATCAGTTTAGTATCGTGCAGTGACTCGTTGGATACAGGACATACGTTAGGTATGTCGGGGATGATTCTGGATAAATAGAAAGTTTAATCTGCTACAACATCCAGACCTGATTTGGGCCAGTATTATTTGGGGCTCTCGAGGCAGCTCGTTCTCTTTGTCTGCTACAGTTTATGTTTTGACTCCATTCATTCCAGGGAGAGAGTTTTTGAAGGTGATGACGCAGTCTTGGCGAATGCCGCTTGTATATACGTATTTCTGTGCTATTGCTTGCACAACAAAGCTGAACCATCTGGACGAAGGAGTATAGGCTCAAGCTCGATTTGAAATTCGATGGCGTTGAAGTTCCGACTATAAGTAACATTCGACAGCCTGCACTCCTTCACTTCGTATACGACTGCGATTGCCGCAAAACTGCAGAGGCGCAACAAAATCTTCAAAGCGTTAACCGGCAGCAGCTGGGCAGCAACGGCGACAATAGAACGTTTCCTGCCATGGTCCTGAGAGCGGCTCCTCGGTTCTATGCCGAATATGAAATCAGACAAACCCCTTCCGGTGGTGAGGGGAGTTTTCGAGATATAAACAACAGTGGGAAGAGGAAATCAGAAGATGGCTAAGGTTCGAGGCTGGTCCGACCACCATCCAAAAATCTTAAGAAATTAATTCAAATTATAAATTAACTTAATTTCTCTAATGGCGTTCGCCCCTCGGCAGCAGCTGCGTTCGTTGAAAAATGCAATCAAAAACATTAACCATCATAACATATTCGTATCTTTCTTGAAGTTAACGGAGATTCCGATATTCGATTTTCATTTGTAATTTGAATTCCTGTAAAATGCTTACCTTAGCTAGTTTTTAATATTTTTGTCTCAAAAAAAAAAATAATTTATGTGCAACTGCAAATATCTTTACACATACACACCCACAGACATACATATTTACATATGTATATATATGCACTTACTTAAACATTTCTCACAGTTAATTCGTTTGAACTGAATATATAGATTATTTAGCACCGTTATTTTCAAGTTGATGATTTCACAACCTGCGACCAAAACCTCTTGATTGAAAATGAAAACAAAGATTTTTTCACATTTAATTCCGCGCTGCTTATCGGCATATCTTTTAGTTTAGGTAAACACTAAAAGAGATTTTGGTTGAAATTTATATAAAACCGTTACAAATGTACTCTGTTTTCATAATACCAGTTGTTGATACTAGTTAACCACAAGTAAATGTGTATGCGGCGCCTAAAGGAACTCGTATTTGGTTGACTCTCCTGTTTTAGACAAAATCATACTTGTCCTGACGTCGGAACCACTTTTATACAAAAACAAAAACCAAATACACAAAAAAACACAATCAGCAGCAAGCTTCACAGAAGCACAGGTGTTTGTATGTACATATGTATGTGTATTGGTGAATTGGTATTGGAGTTTGTAATTTTGGAGTGATATTGTGCAATGGTTACATTGAAGGTCTGCTCAGTTCCATTCAAGTTCGTTGCATGAGAAATGCAATACATATGTATTTATGTATGTGTGTATGTATATACATAAGCTCGAATGTATGTATGTCGTCCTTTACAAACCGGTTGAATAAATGGATATTTGGAAAACATTAATTATGCAATGTTAGTCCTGTCCTCAGGTGCGAAGGCATTGATTTGGAGGAGGAAACAGTGTTTTCAGAACTTCTTCATTCAAAACAAAATAAAGTACAAGACAAATAACCCTGTAGTTCAGCTACCTCGGTTCACCATTAACAATTCAGCTAGCTCCAGTTATGAGTACTGGTCGCAAGCCTTGAAGACATGCATTCGCTTTCCCAACGAATTTAATATGGGGATGTCATTGCAACGTACCGAGCGGTATGACGTTGCATTACGTTGATCTAGCGATTTGACTGGTGCAAAGTGGTTGATTACTTCGTTGTGTCACTGAGTTAACGATGTCGTTATTTATTAAATTAGATACATATATATGCACTTGTATACTTGTATTTATTTTTATATTATTAAATTATTTTAAATATTTTTATTTATTTATTTAATAATAATAACAAAGCATTAGTACAATAAGATTTCCATATCTTTTTTAGTACAACAGAGATAGTGTGAAGAATAAGTAAATATTACTTTACAGATACCTTAACAAAAATAATAATAAAAATAAAAATAATTATAATATATAATGAGTTGAGNTGCTTGACAGCAAGTTTATTGTTGCTTTAAGTTTCTGCATTTCACAAACAAATAGCATCCTTGGCATGTAATTACAAGCTAATTAAATTACGGAAACATCTGGGATGGGTTTCACCGACGAATGCTGCATTACCGCTACTTAGTGATTTGTCTAATGATTGGTAATGCAGAACTATTGGGAATTCAATTGTTATTTTATATGAATGTATGTGTGTATCTAAAAAAATCGCTACTTCCTGCCATAGCTCATAAGGAAATAACGTTTTTAAAAATATTTCACCAAATATAGGAAAATACTATATAAATATGTATGTGTGTGTTTTAAAATATTTATACAAATTTAAGAATTTCCTTTATTGAGGTGCAGGTGTAGCGAATTATTTTAATTATCTCCCGAATAATAAATAAATATTAAATATTTAATTCGATATATTTTGCAACACAAAAAGCACATTTTTTCTTAGCCTTTTCGTCATTGTGATCTTCCACACATTTTCAGGCGTCGCAATTAAAGACTCAAAATGTGTTCAATAGCATGTTCCGACCAACAGCAAAACCACTTTGAAAACGTGTTTTCTGGATTGTGGGTTAAAGGGTGCTCGCACCGACCTTTAATGCTTTGTTGACATATCTGACAGCCTCAACTTCCATTCATATTTCCTAAATTAGAAATTGTAATTGGAAAAAGATATTAATAGTAATTTAAACCAGTATAATTTTGATTGGTGGCCGCGGCAGCCGAGTGGTTAGCATTGCGTACTGCTCTTCTGAAGGCTCGGGTTTAAGTCACCGTGCGACCAATATCGAAATAATTTAAAATAAAAAATTAAGCTAAATTTTTGAACTGCGGTCGCACCTCGGAGTGTATTTCTGACATGAATGAAGCTCCTTATAAAAAAACACCATCAGCCATTTGGAGACGGCTAATGTAAACTGTGGGTCCCTCCATATGTTGGAAAAACATCAAGACTCAATACCACAGCGGCTACAAAGCGCCAATTATTATGTAATTTTGATAAGATACATTGAAGTTAGGAAGGAAAAATTTTTATAATCGTCGTTAATTCTTCGAAAATACAAAATGCATCTTCCAATGTGATAAAAATATTGAACAAACTAGCGCAGAAACCAATTGGATGAAGTGGAGCATAAGTTTTCAATTGGTCTTAAGCGAAAAATGCTTTTCGTTGTATTTTCGTTTGATATATTTTACAGGAACGAAAAGAGAAGTTTTCTAAATTTCAATTTTAAAATTCAACTAAACAGCGCAAAAAGCAGCTAAGTCCAACTGAAACGAACCTAAAATGGCAACTCTGGTAAGAAGTGGAAGGATCTCAAAACATGTTTGCTTTGCACAGCATAAAACTAACTTTTTACGCGAAATGTGAGTCCTGCGGAGGGAAATGAACTTACTGCTGCTCGCCGATTGACATTTACAGCCCGTTGGGCAAGCAAATAAAATCGATGGCAACAACAGGAACAGGAGCAGAAGGCAAAACATTTACATATTTGCAAATATACAAAGTTATACTAATCAATATAGAGAATATCAACGTTTAGTAAGAGCAAGCCGATGTTAAATTTGATTTATCGCTTATATTTAACCTATTAATTTATTTTGTATTGTTTTTTTTTTCAAAGTTATATGAAGCAAACTAAATTCAGGTTATAACCGTTATATTTGAAACTCCAGGTGCTTTTAGACTAGGAATGATTTTAATTTAAAATAACGTTTTGAGGTTAACAGCTTTCTCAGGTACAATCAAAACGGTAAAACACGTCTTTAAGTCTTTGTCTAAGACTCCGGACTCTTAAGCAAATTATTAAAACGATACTGAGCTTCAATGGAAATTTCTTCAATGCTGTTATTTATATATATACGAGTACATATGTATGTATGTACACAAAAGCACGATCAACACTTGCTCCAAGTAAATATTGTTCGCCTGACCCACTATAAATTATGACGCAACTCTCGCGAAAACTTCAGTTACTTAAAACCCAAAGACTCGGTTGGATGGTTGATTGCGGAATTACTACACGGCTAAAAGAAAATTCCAAAAACAATAAAAAGCTTTTAAGTGTGCCTGCGCTGCATCAGTGTAGCATTTCAGTGGTGAGGCGACGTGAAAAGCCAACAACAAATCGAAGTATTAAAAGTGAAAACGAGTTTAACTTTCTCAGCCCGGAAGTGATTTTACACTGGTGGCGCTAAATGTTTTACACAGTTATATTTTTTAGCGCTCTGGTTTTACTCTTTCTCTTCTGGGATGTAAAGAAACCTTCGAAATTTCCGCCTGGACCAAAATGGTATCCAATTGTCGGCTGTGCGCTGCAGATCTCCGAATTGCGTAGGAAATGTGGCATGTTTTGCAAAGTAGTTGATGAATTGGCCAAATTCTATATAAATCCATATGGCTTATATGGTCTCAAGATTGGTAGAGATAAGCTTGTGATCGCATATTACAGCGACACCATAAACGAAATGATGACCAACGAAGATCTCGATGGCAAGCCGAATGGTATATTCTATCGAATGCGTACATTTAATTCGAAGAAGGGTATTTTGGTCACCGATGAAGACCTATGGTTGGATCAACGACGCTTCATTCTGCGTCATCTAAAAGATTTCGGATTTTCGCGTGCTGGCATGGTGAACATTATACAAAATGAAGCCAGCTATTTGTTGGAGGAACTGAAGGAAGTTGTGGCCGAACAGGGTGGCAAACGGGCGGAAGTGTCGATGCACGACTTGTTCAAGGTAAATGTGCTCAATACATTATGGTCCATGATGGCTAGCAAACGGTACGACCGGAAGAGCGAAGAAATAACCGACCTTTTAACTATGTTTTTTGAGCTTTTCCAAAACGTGGATATGGTGGGAGCGCTATTCAGTCACTTCCCTCTAATAAGATTCATCGCACCAAACTATTCCGGCTACAACGCTTTTGTGGAAAATCATCAACGTATTTACGCCTTTTTGCGCAAGGAAGTCGACAACCATCGCAAAACATATACAAATCATGATATGCCGCGCGATCTAATGGATAGCTATTTGCGGGAATTGGACAATCCAAAGCGCGGTGAGTTTTTCAGTGAGGAGCAATTGTTAGCTGTGTGCCTGGATATGTTTTTAGCTGGCTCGGAAACCACCAATAAAAGTTTGGGTTTTGCTTTTTTACACATGGTGCGTAACCCAGAAATACAGGAGAAGGCTTTCGCTGAGATAAGAGAAATGATTGGTCTTGATCGATTGCCAGAGTGGAGTGATCGTGCCAAGCTACCCTACTGTGAATCTATTGTCTTGGAGGCTGTACGTATGTTTATGGGCAATACCTTTGGTATACCACATCGTGCTCTACGCGACACTCGGCTCAGCGGTTTTAATATTCCTAAAGACACGATGGTAATCGCCTGTTTCCGAGGAATGCTTATGAATTCTCATGACTTTCCAGATCCAGGCAAATTTGATCCAGAACGTTATTTAATGGGTGGAAAATTAAAAATTCCGGAGGCTTACAATCCATTTGGCTTCGGACGGCATCGTTGTATGGGTGATATATTGGGGAAGCAAAACCTTTTCATGTTCATAACGACGGTGTTGCAACACTTTCGATTCGTGTCTCTGCCGGGAGAAATCCCTGACGAAGAGCCTTTGGACGGCGCTACCGCAGCCGTAAAACCTTTTAAAGCTTATATTGTGCCGAGGCAAGCGCGAATGTAAACGTTATATAAAAGCCGGGTGATTCAATCATATTTCTTTTCGCAATATTAACAAAACATATTAACATTTTGCTTGATTTTTTATCCAGCTTATATCACTCTGGATACGCACGTTCGAGTATATATAAGCAATATGTTTTGGAATAATTTTAAGTAAGAGCAGAGTAGTAAGAAAAAGGCAGTATTCCGTCTGCATAAGCGTATTCCCTGTTTATATGTATGTATGTTAAGCTCTATTTCGTATTGCGCAGGAATGTATGCAACACATTTTCTTTTTTATACAGTTTGTTGTTACACAGAATTCTTAGCCAGTTGACTCTCGCTGGCTCTGAAATAGAAATCCCAGTCTGCTAGCTTTGAACAATATCGAACACATTGTACTCCCATGTTTTGCTCGCCGAGTTATTAGCAGAAGTAAAATGCTTTTCGAATAGTATTGCCTTTTATTTTCGAAAGAGTCTGCGTACGACAGGCTTAAAACTATTTGTGTGCACTCATATGTGCATTGATATGTATGTATGTATATTATTTTAAATTAAATTTCATATAAATAAATCGCTATATATGTATGTATATTTTTATTTACATAAACTTTCTGTATACCATTGATATGTTTGGATTGCGGTTTGTTAGAATGGGTTTCCAGCCACTCATGATATGTATGTTTCAGTGATTTTAACTTACATAGGTATGTATGTTTGTATATGAAATCAGTAGATTTCTTTTGGCGAAACAAATGCGCTACAGGCATCTTTAAAATTAGTCGCATTTAGCGGCGCAAAGTAGTCTTCATGAAGGAATCGTATGATATTCTCAATCGGACAAAGGTCTGCCTTGTTACCGCGGCTATCTCGAGTAACCCTCAAACTTTTACCGCCTTCACAAAAATCTATTTGCTGCGTAACATCTTTACCATTGTAAACCATCCGAAAATAATAGTCCGTGTGTGTTTCGCTTTTGTATAGCTCAATTGCCAATCGGGTTGCATATGGTATGACGGTATTCCCGGTTTTTATTCCCAAGGCAGCAGTTAAATATTGTAGCGTCCAGTCATGGCCTGAGTACAATACAAATTTCGTTCGATCGCCGGATATCATTCGCAGCATATAACTAACAATATGTCGGACCATACCGTATGCTCGGAGGAGTCCAATTCGCTTATAATATACGTTCCCCGCTTCAAGTGTTGATTGCCAGTTAGCGTATGTCGTAAGAGTAGTGACGTGAGTCTGCTCAATACATCCCATTAAATTTTCACTTTCAAGATCTTCATTGAATACTTTTTCCGGCATGGAGCGAACCTCTGCTACGTTGTCATCTTGATCTATATTAATGACATCGTTTAAATCAACTGCACTTAGCTGAGTGGTTGAAAACAGGCGTGAACTGTTTGATCCAGTATGTCGGCAAGGCAATGGCGCATCGTGACACAAAACGGTATTTAAAACGTCCACAACATCGTGAATGTTATTGATGCCATTTGGTGTGTGCTGTAGCAGTGCACCTCCCACCCATTGCATAACTTTGCTAATTTCCGGTTGTAAGGTCAAATTGAACTTCTGTTCGAGCTTTTGCCGTTTGTACAAGACTTCCGCTTGTTGACAGGCACAATCGGTGAAACAGAACGCCATGCTATGAGACTCCCGAATATTTAAAGACAACCACTTGTCGTTGGGTAAAAAACTATAAAGCAATGCCAGAGCCGATTGGAAGGTTCTCCTGTAGCGTGTGGAAAATAACACTACTTCGTCGGAGTTAAGTAGCGAGTTCGGTGTCGACGAGCCACTCGTTGCGGGCTTACTCGGCGTTTGCTTTGCCAGCAACCCGAGCGGGTGGGCATAAATTTGATGCAGAATATCGCCAACATGCAACATCTGAGCTACACCCCTAGATACGAGTAAATGTTGTAGAAAATTATCTGTATGAATGTTTGTCCATATACATATACGCACTTAAATGTCAACTGGCCCAAAAGACATGCACGCTCGGATGCAGGAAGCAATGGGAAGCCGTGAAAGGGGCCCACTTTGTTCCAGTACATATGATTAGAGCTTGATGACGATGTAGAATTATAAAGGAAGCTGCGATAACTGCAAAGATACGTTATGTATATATACATACATATGTATTAGGCCGTAATATTTTTAGATGCGAATATATTCATAGATATAGAGCTAGCAAGATGGTTCGCTCTGCGTTAAAATCTACCCACCGGTTGATTAAACCATTGTTCGCTAAGCTGCAATCGATGCCCATAACGCCGCGCATATGCGACATGGGACCACGGTCGCCGTGTCGTATGACCATCAGTACACCTTGCAATTTCCATCCGTCCAATATGCCCCCTTCATCACGACGTACCAAACTTTTTAAAGGAGCACAACGCTCCTTAAACTGATTGCTCTTAAGCGAAATTTTATCTTGTGATTCTTGATAAGTGTCATCAGCATACTGGGCATCGCCGGGTTGAGAATGCAGATGGCCGTTAAGGAATCGAAATGTGCTTGTAATAGAATTTCCGCTGTGGCCAATGTATTTATACATGCCTAGAATTTCTCAATTTTATATAAATATCCATGAAAATTACGTGAATATAAACTTTACCAGCAATTAAGAGAAAAATCCATATACTCAGTACTAAATAGCAGTGCAGTGTGCGATGTTGCGTTGAAAATCGGATCAATTCTTTTACCAGCATGTTTTTGAGAAATACACTTTATTAATTAAATTTCATTTTGAATTGAAAAGGAAAATCCTTATTTTACTAATGATTCGTCTACTTTTTTCGTTTTACGAATACTTTGTTATAATTAAATGGGTATTTTTGCTGGTGTACATATGCATACATACATATGTATATTCTTACAATGGCACATGCGCGAAAAGGACATTGCAATAACTTGGAAATAACTAGTCTGAAATTACTAACAAAACAATTAAATACTTTAACTAATAAATAAATAAGTCATACTCACACACACTACATACATACGCATGTATGCTGATACCTTGGAGTCTGTCTCTTTCATTAAAACAAGTACTTCTAAGCACGTAAAGCAAGCGGCTTTATATATTTATTTATATTAAATTCCAGATGTATTGATAAATATTTATGCAAATGAGTTAAACAATAAGAATTTTTAGTGTGCGAAATTGTCAAATTGCGAATGATATAACATGCGACCACACATGTACAAAAGCTATATTTTCTTGCTAATTTTTAAACATTTAAAATGCATAAGCACCAAGTAGCAAAAAAGTGAAAGCGCACTTTTTAAATGACTACTAGGTAAGTATATATGAGTATATGATTTTTTAAACAAATTTTTCGAATTTATTCTTGTGTTGCAGTTATTGCCATCACGGTGAAGCGCAGTTCATCCGGGTCCCGCGCCATAAATTTCCTGCAAACATTGGCCGCATCCTGCACAAAAGATTCTTCCGAGGTTGCTCCATGATTGATAGGAAAGTGCTTCCGCCCATCCAGCTCGTACAAAGTCCCATCTTTGTTAACGAATGCTATAAAATGATGATTCACTTTTTCTTCAGGGTTGGCAACAGTTTGACCTTCTTTGGCAAGTTCATGGTGACCTTCCGTGAAAGACTTATCATTTTCCAAAGCTTTGCCACGTTCTTCCGGTGTTAAGTTCTTAGCGTTCTCCAGAAAATTTTTCAATATTCCATCAGAGAGAGAAATACTAATTTAGATAGACATATTTATTTACCCAAAGGACTATTAAACTTTTTAATGTCCTACCTTTTACAATTCGCCACACTATGTATTAGCGCAACTGTGCCACAGGCATTAGAAGTAAGTTGTCGCATATAGAAAAGGTCTTCCGGGTAACTACCAGGATCTGACATCAAACTTTCATGCTCCTCAGCTCTGTGTTTTTCGTACTATAGAAAAATTGATAAATTACTTTGTTTGACAATGCAAAGCAAAAAATTACTAACGGTTTCGGAAATTGGAAACAGTAAAATAATAGCTTTAACCGGCTGAGGAATCCATTCCAGCATTTCGGGATCTAAGCCAACAACATCGGTAAGTGACCACTCCTTCGATACGCCCAATTTGTGAATATACTTAGTAAGTACCTAAGATTATTTTGGAGTGAGGAAAAGTTTATAACAGGAGATAAATTCAGAGACAATGCAAAGCAACTTAAGTAAACTTACATCAGGATTGGACTCAAGCGGCAACCATGTACTCATTTTTAATATATTTTAAAATTTCAGTGGAACCAAAAAATTATAAAGCTACGTATATTTCTAACCTTTGTTTTATCTCTAGTTTACCGGTAATAGTTCTGTTCGCTATTCCACATATTTGTACAAATTGTTGCCAAAAGCGATAAACCATTTTCAGAGCGACAGCGACAGGACGAATTAACTGTTTTTGCAATACTATATGTTGACGTTATTAATGTGCAATCTGCAAGATTCTGCGTGGGATTTCAAGGCTGACATCGCTGTTGTTTTTAATGTTGTTTCCAAGACGTGAGAGCCGAATTGCAGAGGCGATTAACCTTTGTTTGATGACAGAAGATATTTCACCTTTGAACATGTTGTCTATCAGACACATATGCTTCCCTTGCGTATCTCCTTGAACCAGAAGAAAGCAGTTTTAACAGAGGTGAGAAATAACCCTTTATGGAGCTTTATCTGGTCAATAAATTCTGATTCAATACTGATAACACTGTTCACGATTTTATACATAAAAAATTTGTACACAAATGAAATACCTGAGCATAGGTTTTGACATTTCGAACGCACTATTACACAAAGAAAATATGCAAAATACATTGGGCGCCCTTTGTCATTGACATTTCGATTCTAGACATAAAGTTTCTATATTCTTGCTATTAGCTTTTGTTAATTTGCCTTAGGGCTCTCGTGTTATTTTTTAGCACAACCAATCTCTGCAATGTCAGGCATGTGCAATTTATTGACTTGCTTATTCTGAGCTTTAGCATAAACTAAACTATAATCCTGAGCCATAAAACCAATTTGTTAAAGTTATTTCTTTGGATTTTTAAAGTTTGCTAAAATTTCAAGATTATCCTGAAATGAGGAATGATAACGTACAGGTCACTTCTTCCATCAACGTACCCGCCGTACGATTCAATGCAAATAAAGATTTCCAGAATCGCAGCTTAACTTATGACCGTGATATTGCTTTTGCCCGACATCAGCGGAAATCATGGGTGCGTCCTAGTAGTGAAAGACGGTCGAATAGGGAAGCTCTTACAACCTTACTATCAGCTCATGGTGAAAACTCCAATGATTGTATAGAGAGGCTTTTAGCTGAAGAAATCTCATACCGAGATTTGGGCTCTCTCTCCAACTCTGACTTGGAATTGATGGGCTTTAAAGACTCCAATGAGCGTCAAGAATTAATATCGTTTTTCACAGAGCTACCAAATCAGGACCCTTCGTTCAAGAAGTAAACAAAAACATTAACTGCAATATTACTTAGAGTAAAAAATGAAATATTTTTAGTATTTGTGATATTCACGAGGCGAAGATGTATAATGGTGAAATTATGAGCAATGCTATCGACCATATGGAAAACATGCGTTCTGCTTTATCGGCAACCAATTACAAGTTGAAGATTTTTCCTCCGGATGATATTATTGTGGGAGATAAAAGTTTTGCCAGTCGATTTGTTTTAGAAGCTCTAACAGAATTGAAGACGGTCACTTCCGAAATTGACAAAGAACTAGAGGAGTTGTCAAAGGTTTTAGTACTTTTTCTCATTAATCTTTTATTAATATATTAATATGTATTTTTATAGCTCACACTCGATAAAGGATCAATACCAGTATTAAAAAGGAAAAATAAAAAATTTCATTACTTCACCCTCGGTTTTTGGGCATTGGCTTGCTCGATAACAGCCGCGACTGCTTTGACCACAGTTTACTTTTTGAAAACTATTAAAAACTAATTTATGCATATTTTTAATCAAAGGCACCAAATCATAATTCTTGTATATAGTAATTCCATCATCCAATATTTAGAAAAATGTGAATTAATTATTTGCCTAATTAATAGCGCTTTTAGTGAACGCTGCTGCATCCGTTCAAATAGGTTCGTGTACAAATATTAAATTAATACAAGTGAATATTTAAGTTAAATGGAAAAATTTAGTGTTATTTGTTCTCTTCTTTCAAAAATGCAAACATAAATGATGTCCAGTCATCAATGTATTGCGGATACTCCCATGCTGTAGTCCAACGGATTAATTCTGCTCTGTTCATGCAGTGTGGCAGTTCACCTAAACAATTGATTGTAATTGAAGAGTTCAAGCATAAATATGTTTACTTACGAGCAACTATTTGCTTCATTTGTTTTTCTTGTCTATACGAAGTATGCAATAGTTCTGTGAAGTTAATATACTCGGATAATTGCCACGATCGAAAGAATATTGCATTCGTACTTCCAACTAACTTGCTTAACGATTTCAATTGCTGTAGCGATTCTCCTGCACTTAAAGTAATATCTTCAAATATAGACAAAATTATATTTAACTTATCCACGTGTGCTTTAAGATCTTTCGGGTAAAGTGAGTCGTCGCTATCTTTAACTAGCTTAGATGGTTCCATAGCCGCCAGGGCACGAGTTTTAATTGCTTCGATTGATGTACAAATTAATAAACCTCTTTTTTGAGCCAGCTGCCACTTGGAGTAATTGCTCTGTAGGAGTGGTACAATAACTTCTAAGCGTGACTTGCAAGAAGTTATGCTAGCATCTTGAGAACTCGATTTAGCACGTGGGCTGTCAAGGACTTTTGATAAATTATTAAAAATTAGTGGACTTTGTCAAGAACTTGGTGCACTTACATCGAACCGGTGTCAAATTTTCAGAAGAATTAAGATCGATTTTCTTTCTTGGCGTCTCTGACATATTTTCATATTAATTTACCTACGTTATTTGATGTAAACAAATAAACATTTGATATTCACAATGTTCAGCTGTTATCTCGCAGGGTTGTATATCAGAGAACGGATTTGTTCCACAGTTCCCAACAAAAAATTCCAAACTACAAAAAAATAGTAGAGTATTTTACATAAGTGCAATCTTCAAATAAGGTTAAGGCCTAATAAATAACACCGGAAAACGTCCAGGAGGTTACTTCTGGCTCCAAGAAACGGTAGTAAGAAAAGTTAACAAACTTTACAAGGTTAGTTCCATCCGCGTTAAGTAGAAAACTAGGAATCGGTGCTGATTAATTTAATTAATGACAGCAGAATTGTGTTTTTAAACGTTTCATTTACTTGAAATGTTATTCAGTTTTATTCGAGATATGTAAATATGTAAGTACCAAAAGGAGAATAGATAAACCCATCATTGTGATCAGAATAACAATCTAATTTTTCGTATTGTATTAAAAATTCATAATATCTTTTGTAACGAATCAAAATCAAGTTTTTCTTTCAAAAAAAAATTATATTGTTAGGGTATTCGCAAATATAAAATTCAACCATGAGATTTAAAGATTGTTCGAAACGGATCATGATACGGAAGCCAAAAAATTGGAATAGCGCTGGATGTTCATGTGTTAGCGTGGTGTAAAACCGAATCATTTTTTGTTTAATTTGCAGAGTGGATGTGGCAACTCTAGCTTGTGTCACAACATAAATGTTGACCTTTCTAAAATGCACTTTTCTTTTACGCTATTTTGTGAATTGAGAGACAAAAGTGTTTGGATCAATTAAACTATATGAAACTTTAAGAACTTTCCAAATTATATTAAAGTTTCTTACAATAAAATTGCAAAGAATTTTATAGGTGAGTCTGTGCGTTTGATGAAAATCTACGGTAGTGAAAACTTGGACTGGTGACTTCACTCAATATTGATACATACTATGTATCTGAATGCCTAAAATAATACTCAAAATATCAAACTGACAAGTTTATTAATGTTTTAAGGGATAAAACACAATCTCGCAAAACATGTGTAAAATCTATGAATGAGGCATACTCATATATTTTTTTATATGCGTTTATATACATGTGTGATTGATTACAGGTGGGTAAACTTTAAATACAGCGGAAAAATTATCTCATCTGAGGAACAACGTGGTCTGTCTGCTGCAGCTAAAAATTTTAGTCACTAATAGGGGTTGTATTTGACATCCACACTTAAAGAAAGGAATATATGTCTAAATTCAAGACACTTACTTTTTCCGTTACGGTTTAGTTCTAAGTTATTGTCCTCGAAAATAAATATGCCTCTAAATAAACACAAACTTGATTTACTTCCAGGTATACATATCAATAAAACTGGTTTTAAAATTGATACATACTAGAAATTGTTCTCAATGCATTTGCATGATGTGTTTGGGGGTGAAATGATAAACCATTTAATGTTAAAATTATTCTCGTTAATAAAAGGCTCAATTAAAAGCCAGAACCATGTTAATTATTAAATAGTTTGAGGACCACATTACTACATCAGCAACAGATTCGCATTATGTCACTTGACTAAATATAGCGGCCTTTCAATTTGTATACGTAATTTGGTGACGCTCTCTTTTCTTTTATTTGCTGTTTCTTATTAATATACATTCACATGTACGCATGTCGTTTTAAACATACATTTTAGTTTCTTTCGGAAATATTACAATATCATGGGAAACTCTTATTTTTATAAGCAAAGGTCTACTCAACAGTTGGGTCTTTTTGTAAAGTAAGTATGTATATTTGACTGTAAACAAAATCTAACAATGATACTAAATTGTTCAACTTCAGCATATAATTAATTAAATATATTCATAAATGCATAATCTAGTATTTGATATTATTACGAAGGCATCACAAGGGGTTGCGAAGAATTGTAAAACTCAAACGAAGAATGTTGGAATATCTTTGTTTGACCTTGCAAAAATTCGAAAAAGATTACCTACAATGTCAACACATTTGTACTGGTATAATTTGTCTAAAATTGATTGATGTTATTTTTGTTTTTTCATCGCGTCATAGATTAATCAAATAAAAGGATTTAAAAATGCTTCGTCACAACGCACTAACTGGTCTACCCACATATAAATTAATTCTCGGTTTTGGGTTATGCACTTTGGGTGGTGCAATGTTATATGCCTATTTCAAAAACCAAGATGAAGATAAGGATGTTGCTGAAAAAAAAGGAGTCACACAAAAGAAAAAGAAGCCACCACAGTCAAGTAAACAAGAAGAGAAGGCCAACATTACACTAGATATATCGAATGAGCACATACCATTATGTGTTGGCCGTGGAGGATCCAATTTAATCTCAATTGAACAGCAAACGCACACAAAAATACGCTTACGGTAAGTTATCCGCTTCGAAATTAAAAGAGATAATCCATCCAGAAATTTATATCGCGTATGCTTGCATATATAGTGATAAAAATGACAAGTACAAGATCTGTGATATAAGTGGAAATGCCGACGGTGTTAAGCAGGCGCGCATACTTTTATTAAAGGAAATAGAGCGCGCGCCCCTTGTGAAGGAAGAGATATGGGTGCCACAAAGTGTATGCGGAAAAATTATGGGACGGTGCGGCGAAGCTATGCAGGAAATATGTCGCATTTCTCTGGCTAAAGTTGCAGTAGATTCAGGCTGTGGCCGTAGCGGCGGGGCCATGGATAAACGACGTATCCTCATAACAGGCACTCAGCATCAGGTAAGAAAGTGCAGTATATGTTAATGAATAATTGCAGAGTATAAAATCCAATTCATAGGTAAATATTGCACGAAAATTGATTGAGGAAAAAATTGAAGAAGATGAAGAACTCCGCCGCTCCGTTGAAGAAGTTGAAACGCGACGCGAACCACGACGCTCACCTACGAATAGCATCAACTCAAGCATGTATTCATCGCAAACATCATTGAGTTCACACTTGCCGCCTCGCGATAAATTACTCGCCGCTCGTAATGAAGATAGGCCCATGGAGGTTTACGTTTCTGCGATAGCATCTCCTTCCAAATTCTGGGTGCAAATAATAGGCCCACAGTCCAAGAAACTTGATGATATGGTACAATCCATGACAGACTATTACAATGAACCGGAAAATAAAGCTCTTCATCAAATCAGGGAACCGTACTTAGGACAAATTGTGGCAGCTGTTTTCAAGTATGATGGCAAGTGGTACCGGGCCGAGATTGTAGGTATTCTACCAAATCAGTACAACCCCAACGAAGTAGTATTAGATCTTTATTTCGTCGACTACGGGGATAGTGAATACGTGTCGCCACATGAAGTTTTCGAGCTGCGTACCGATTTTTTGACGTTGAGGTATAAATTTATATAGATATGTAAACATCCTTCAAATTTAATATAATAATTTACATATATGCAGGTTTCAAGCAGTTGAGTGCTTCCTAGCTGGTGTTAAGTCTACATTATTGCATGACTCAGATACTTGGGATCCGCCTGCTATTCAGAAGTTCGAGGAACTTACACAAGGTAGGTTGTTACGTAATTTTTTCTATTTTTAAATAATAATGGTGGTATCTCTTCTTAGTTGCAAATTGGAAAAAACTTATTTCACGCGCAATTACTTATAAAGAGCGACCAAAGGCTACAGCTGGCACCGGTATTATACGGGAAAGCTCACCTATTCCAGGGGTTGAGCTTTTCGACCTAACCGAAGGTAAAACTTGTTTCCTTGCTTCCTTAACAGCAAATTTTCAAATGACATGTTTTATTTCAGGTGTAGAAGTAAACATTGGACATATGTTAATTACACATGGTTTCGCTTTGCCTGCAAATGACCTTCCAAGATCACGATCACCATACAATACCGTTTCTTCGGAGGGGTCAGTATATCCGCCGACAAGTACTACTTCACCTCCATCTTCACGACGTATCGAAAATTTGTCAAATAGTAAAGGAAACGTCTCTCTAGAGGAACAGTTAGAACGTCCAGTTACAAACAACAATTTGTATTTAAATAACATTGGTGAAACGAGAGTCACCGCATTAAGTGTAGGAGAAGCGGCAGCTAAACGCGCGAAATTAACAACTTCTGAATGTTTTAATGAAAAATTTGATGATACTTCAGGAATTGAGAATCCTCATTTGAATGGAAATTTAAACAGATAAGATGGAACATAATGTCGATACTTATTAGTTTAAGGGATTTATCTTTTCATGTTTCTAATTTTCGTTTTAGTGACCATTTATTTTGATATTAAAAGCTTAAGTGGGCCAAAAAATATTTATGGTTTTGTAAATATTTGAATGTATACATGGAATAGACTTAGTAATTGAACAAATTATTATAGTTTATATCACCATTCATCATTTTTGGGAAATATCTTGGCAGAATTATTGTATATCTATATAAATAGAAAATGATTTTATTACAGTGGCCCAAAATAAACTGAAAATATTTGTTAAAATTTGTTATGAACGAAAATTCACGTTAAATCGTTGCCTAAAAGCGTAACTTATTATAAGTTTCGACTATTTGTTAAATATGCACATGAATAATGTACGAAAAATAATAGTATCGTATGAAGTGCATATATCATCGTATATGTTACACCTTATGTACGTACGCTGACGCTTAATATAGCGAAAATAAATTTTACTTTTTAAAACCACAAAATTTATTGCTGTAGTTTACTTCTGTAAGGTATTGATTTTGAAAACAAAAATTTTGAAAAGCATATAAAGCTTACAACATAAGAATTCTTTGTTTATAATACATTTTTATTTTTATATTTTTCAGTTTAGCAATAAAATATTAATTATAATAAATTGTATTTTTCACAATTTAGCAACTTAAATGTTATTTTCTTAATTGTGTTTTGTATTATCTTGTATTTTCATCATTTTTTTTATTTATCATTCTTTATGATTTATCTTTTAAGTGTATAGATGTGTTTTATGTAAAGCCATGCACTCTACACACACTTCGTTTTTCTGGCGTTCGCTAATCAGTTCAGTTCCAGTTCCAATTGGAGCTCTTGGTGCTCTTGCCGCCACTTTTGCACTGTTACCGACTGCGTTGTGGTTATTAAATTTAGCATTAAATTCTTTCTTTAAACTAAACCATACTGTTTGTTTTCCTGATATTTTATATGTATGACAAGGCTATATTTATACGCGATTTTTCGAACTTATATCTTTATTACAAATTGCATTTTTAATTTATTGTGATAAATTATCAATTTTGTTCACATCCCATTAGCATTAATCACGTCGCCTCAAGTAGTTTAAATTAAATGTTTCTGTGGTTGTCGCCCCTAATGGTAACCCTTTTAATCCAACTAAGGCTGCAACTACCCAACGAGCGTACCAGCCGTCCATAAGTGGCGACGTCGAGGCGAGATAAACACACGACTTATCGACGTCGCTGAGAGCGGCGAAATGTTGCCAGCTGCCTGTGTGTTTGCACACTTTTGAAAAAATTCATAATTTTCGTCAACGAATTTCATAATTTATAAGGCAAATATACATGATCTATATAGTAACAAATAATTAGTTACGCATTTAGTTTTCATTTCTTTTGAACAAAACTACGCATTATCTTCGATTATTTAATGTTACTTTAAGAAAGGCTATACTGGCAACCTTGTATAGCAACGAAAAATGAGCCGAGCCGGTTTTACGGAAAAATCAAAACTTCGTTGGTTTCTGCGACACAAACGTCAGCAACGCTATGGTAAATCGGTGACAACTTTGTGTTTACATGGCGCTCTCATAAGATAGGTTATTATGGACGGCTGGTACGCTCGTTGGGTAGTTGCAGCCTAAAGAAAGGATGTTTGAATTTTAATTTTCACTGACTAAATTTGTCGCTTTTGGCTGCCTCTTTTTTGCAAGCCTTAAACTAATGCCTAATATTTAACATACATTCATTTATACGTTTGTTTTTTCTTTAGCTGTACTTAAGATATCCTGCGATTAGTACTGTTAATAAGTTGCCAATTGCAGCCGTCATTCGTCGATAATTATTGCTGCTAACATCTACTATGTATGCTCTGGTGTTATCCTCAGATATATTTCATTACTTCAACTATATTGGTTTTACTTATTTTTATTATTTCCTTTTTTCCTTACGGTTGGATTAGATTTTTATAAATAATTTTGCGTTTGATACTTTTTCTGCTGTTCTTTTTGTTTTCGCAATTATATAAATGTATGTATAATGTTTGTAAATGTGTGAAAAATTCTCTTATAGGAAATAATCTGGGGTTCTCCGTGTAACATGAGGTTCACCACGACGAGGTGCTGGGTCAAATTGTAGGCTGGAATAAGCAAATTATAGAATTATTTAATTTAATTATTTTCATCGTAGTGATTTTTGCGTGCAAAATTTTTGCAAAACTTAACATAGTAGTTGATGATGTAAAATAATAGCAGTGGCGAATGAAAATTTAAGTAATTATTTTCTTACATTTAAATAATACCCGTAATTTAAATTTGTCAATGTCAGAATGGAGACCCGAATACTACTACCCTGTATTTAAATTAATTTCTGATGTAGTTACCACATTCAGGAAATCCCGTCACAACAACACCCGTGTTGTGTGAACTATTTCCGTAAACTCTTTTGTTTTAAAATATTATAATGTATTCCTTTTTAAAAATGGACCTACATTTCTCTGGAGGAATAGCCCTCCATGCCTTTCTCACACTTTTTCACATTTTTTTCATATTTGATAAATTTTCTTTCCCTACCTCTTCCTTTACATCTGCTGAAAGATTCTCAGCCGGCCAGTCCATGACCTCATCCCCATTTGAAGCAAACCAACTTTTTGCCAAGTTGCTGGTATGCTCATGGGCGTTGTCTTGTTGATAGACCCATTTCAGAGGCATCTTGCACTCAGCACGCGTTATCATAGTCGACTCCATTATGTGGACATACAATTTGACATACATGTTGTCTTATATAAAATATATCGGAACTGTATCATAGTGAGAGAAGCACCCCCACACATTGATTTTGCTCCGCCATGTTTTATATTCCGAGAAACGTATCTGGGGTAAAATGGAGCATTTTCTGACCTTCGTGCATATTGTCGACAACCCTTAGAAACAAAAGAAAACAATTTTTGTTTCTTCGGACCATCAAATATTAGGACATTTCTGGATTGGTCAATGCTTGTGTTCTTCGGCAAATTTAATTCTGGTCTGCACACGTAGGTGTTGAAGTAATGGCATTCGTATTGGACTCCTGACAAAAATTTTTGGCTGCTACCGACTTTTTTCTAATTGTGGACGAGTCCGCGGCAAGATTTAGCTCATATTTAATTTTTTTCGAGGTATAAAATGACTTTTTTCGAGTCAAAGCCACAACTTTTCTCAATTCTGTCAGAGAAAGAGCTTCTTTGAGTTTTATTCTTTCACGAGTTGATGTCAACTTTTTTGGATTAGTAATCAGTATGGCTGAACACCCAAGCAAATCTGCAATAAGAATTTAGGGTTTCCCTTCCAAAATAATTTTTTAATTAGTTTTCGTTTTTCAACAGTGCAGTGCTTGGCGCGGTCCATTTTGGAATAGAATATATTTCTCATATAATATTTTAGTGAGATAAATATATTCTATATAACGAATTCAGGTCAAATATATATTTTAATATTTTAAAAACCATGTATTTACGGAAATAATTCTCCCAGCATTTATAACTGATTTAAATTTTCAAGTTTGAGCTGATTTTTTCACACAACACGGTTGTTTTACTGGCACTGCTAGTTTAAATCTCAGTAAAATAGTACTGCGTAGCACAAAAAGTGACAGGATTTCATGAATGTGGTAACTACATCGGAAATCAGTTTAAATACAGGGTATTAGTATTCGGGCCTACATTCTGGAATTGACAAATTTAAATTACGTGTATAATTTAAATGTAAGAAAATAAGTACTTAAATTTTCATTCGCCACTGCTATTATTACGCAAACAGTTGTATGTACATATGTAATAAGATTTTCTAGCTAAGTGAGTTATATAATATTTAGTACTCTAAAATAATCTCTTAAGAAAAAAATTTCTGATTTTTTAGAAGTATTGATTCTCTGCGTGAAAAAAAAACATAATTATAAAGAAATAAAGTATATGTATATATAAAGAAATAACTAAATGTCCTTTCCATTAAACAAAAATGCTAGTTTCTGTCATACTATACATATAATGTATTTATGTTGCGTATACTTACAATGAAAATTTAAGTGAATCATCTAATTCCATTAGAGCCGCTTGATTACCACAGCGATAACAATAATTTGGCGCTGAAAATATTGTAACAACATTTCGGTCATGGCACCAATTATATCCTTCCATGACTAACTGATGAGCTCGTGATACCAGAGTTAGACCATTTGTGTTATTGAAAGTCTCCGAAATGTCCTATTAAATAAATTACAATCATATATTTCTGCCTACAAAATTTAATACTAAGGGGTTTAATACCTGACCAAATGTGTAGCCGGCACCACGAGGTGAAATACCCCAACCGCCCCTATCATCAGGATCGGACCATAATAAATCGCACATTGGACCCTCATGTGGCACCTCTTGGAGTCGGTCCAAAGCACGTATATGATCTAAACTATCGATCGATGGACTGAGGCCTCCGTGCAAGCAAAATATCTGTCCATCGACTAGTGCCGTTAGCGGTAGATAGTCAAATAAATCAGTAAAGTATTTCCAAACATTTGCGTTGCCGTACTTTCGTAGGCACTCATCGTAGAATCCATAAACTTGCGTAATTTGTCGGGACTCATGATTACCTCGGAGAATTGTAATTCTTTCCCTATAACGCACCTTTAGTGCTACCAGCAAAGTGACAGTTTCCACCGAATAGTAACCACGGTCAACGTAATCGCCCATAAACAAGTAATTAGTATCGGGAGATTTTCCGCCTATCCGAAACAGTTCCATCAAGTCATGAAACTGACCGTGTACATCGCCACACACTGTTACGGGACATTTCACCTCCTGCACATTTGATTCCTTTGATAGGATCTCCTTCGCCTGTTGAATATAGCCAAAAACAAGTTTTATAATCAACAAGAATTGAATTAAGATTGAAAAGATTTCATGTTGTTCTTATGAAAACATTCTTTTTATAAAGATTTTTATTAAATAACTATCTCCCAACCTTAGCACCCACCAACAAGCACATTAACGAAATTTACATACTTAGAATGAGTATGGTCTTGAAAATACTTTTACCTTGCTAACAGGAAGGAAATTAATAATATATAAAAACAAAAATGCATCCGGATATATGACATACAAATATATAATTCTCCGAAAAACAAAGCAAGGTTTGTTGTATTATGATTTCTATATTCTATATATCATTTGTATGTAGTTAAATCTGCAGAAAAAAAAGTTAAAACATAGTACAATGTATATGTAAGTACATACATATGTACATCGTATTCAAAATATGTATGTATATAAGCATATAATTTATGCCAGAATCCGTGCGAAATAATAAGAAATTTTTCTAGAAATGTTGCAATATTGCCTATGTTTACATCTTAAAATCACCAAAAGATTCTAAATTAACTTTTCAGATATATGCAAAATGCATTTTGTGAGAATGGTGCATGTCTTTTACCACATAACCTCAAACAAGTTCCACAACAATTTTTTTACCCAAACATATTCAAGCAATTTATATACAAGTATGCCAGTCTTGAAGAGAACTTGTCTGTGTAGAAATGTGGCATATGGCAAAATTTCTATTTTTAAAATATGTGTGAAGCTTTCAATGGAAAAATGGTCGTGGTTACTAGTCAAAGTTACAACGAGCTTCTATATTGAACTAGACAATTGGAAAGAACAATGAATACTGAGAATGGGATATAAGGTGCCCGCTTATATTACGCACACAATACTAACCCTATTTCACCTTTATAAAATTGTATAAATGGGTTTAGTAAACATCATAAAGGTGTTATTTATATTTTTTTCAAAAACAGATTCATATTCAATCTGTAGCAAACAGTAAAATTATCGCTTTACAACACAGTGTTTATATTGGCATCCCTTTCACAAAGTTGATAAATTTTGTCACTCATTTCTCTGCAGTACTATTCAGTTTGCAAGATGGCTGACTAAATAATAAAACAATATGTGTGAACGTGCAAGAAATATGCTACATATCTTACTATCAGGAAAGCAAGTGCGAAAGAAAAGGACGCATTTCTCTCATTTTTGTGGAATATGATTTAAATGTTTTGTATGTTGACCCGATTGGAAAACTAACGGCAGCAACTAAATCAAATAATCGCAATATTTCATTAAAATTACTTTTAACGCATTGTTTTTTACTTTTTAAAACACCATCAAAAATAAGCAAACATTTACCTTATCACACAAGGTTCGCACTTGTGTCTCCGTCAACTGATTACATTCGTTCAACTGCTCAATCCATTGATCCAGATCTTTTGTTGTTGCTTTATCCTCCATCGCAGTCGAAGAAGAGGAAAAAGTCTCGTCAATCTTCGTGGATTCAATTTTGACGGCTTTTTATTGACACGATTAAAAAAAAAATTAATAGGTATTTAAGTATTTTCTCGTTTTTGATAATTGAAAGAAAATACTAAATTTATGTGTATATTTTTCTATTTAGTTATGCAAATTGGAATTAATATTGTAGGCACAAAATACCGATTCAACTCAGAAGACAACCGCACGAATGAAAAATAGCCGACGACTGACTAAATCAAAAGTACGAACAAGCAACACGACACTATTCAATACACAATCTGACAAGGGCGAGATACTTTTTCGCTCCCTCTTTTCCAACTATTTTCACTCTTTCTTGCTTACTTTCCACAAATTTGTATATATGTAAAATGGGGAATCGTTTTCTAACTCTTCGACGAATTAACTCGTACTCCTTCACGACAATTATGTGATGATTCAATTAGGCACTCGATAATTCCACTACTCCACAATGAAATTTCACACTAATGTTAATCATTTACAAGTCCAGGATATTAAAAGTTAGTTATGTAGATGCATAAAGGTAAGATTATACGTGTATATACCGCAATAGTACTACTAAGTCGGATCTTAATTTTTAAGCATTCTCACTTCACTGATTCACTTTGCAACGACGTTATGAGCGTTTTTATTCTTCAAATAGTATTAATTATCTATGTGGCTTTCGTTAAGTTCACAAAATCACACTTTAGTATTTAAAGCGCGAATTGTTAATTTTCAATTTGGAAATTTTTCTTAGGTTGCCGTAAAATCTTGGCAAGGATGGATGAAATGTGTTTAATTGAAGAGGCAAATTTCGTATTGAGTAGTTCCCACACAAGTTCCCAATCAGAAGGGTTGCCACAGTAGAATATTATCGGGAAAAATTCTTAATGTCCAATTTCCAAACACAATCAAAACATATTATAAAATTTAATGCACAAAAGTCTTTCGGCTTTATTTTACAGCTACTTATACTTTTACAAAACCAAAAGCATTGATGGAAAATGCATATCAAAGCAATGGCAGCCTCTATATATGTTTTAAAAATTATAATATTATGGTTAGGGTATGTTCAGTTGCTGCCCAGGTGACGTGTGGATGATTAGAAAAGGAAAAAAGAGAAACTTACGAACAAGTGAAATATATAAGAATCGAAGAATTAACTAATAAACTTTCTGTTAAAATTAAATAAAAAGTTAATCAGTAAATAAATTAGTTTAATATATCTATATAATGCAAAGTTATTATAATTTTTAACGCCATCGTAAATTACAGACATCGCAGAAAAGTATAAACTGGCGTCATCGTTGGCACTGTGTTGGGGCGGCACTAGGTGTCTGGAAATGAAATTTATTCAGACGGCTGTGTAGATCTTCAGTTATGTGCTCATTTAAAAAAAGAAAATCATCTGTATAACAAAGTCAGAAAATTTACATGAGAACAATAACTTTTCACAAATTTTGAATAAAAAGTATTTGTTCTAAAGGCCAAAAGCTCATCCCAGCTATATACTATAAACTCATATGGATTTTGCTGTGATCATATCCAATGAGATATGTAAACAACGCAACAGGCAGCTAAATAAAATTGCAATTAAAAATTTATGAATAAACAAATAGTAGAGAGCTTCACTTATTTCGGTCCAAAAATAATAAACACGAAACACACAATATTTAGTTCGCTGCAACCACCAAGAGGCACCCATAGCAAAGTGGATACAGAAAATTTTCAGTTTATCTAAAACTAACAACAAAACGCAACTAATAGAAATTGCGGTAATGTTTAAACATTTTACGAAATCTTTTTAAATTAACATTCGCTTAAAATTTTATTTCAAATTTATAGGAATGGCGTCTTCTGTCAGTCTCAGCAAAATAAACGATGGTGGCATCGAAAAACCATGTGTCAATGTGAATGATATTTCGACAGAATTGGCATACCACCGAAAATTAATGAATGACAATTGCAATATATCCACTGATCATTCAGAAAATGGACATTCATTTATTGAAACCGAGAGCAAAGCGAATGCGTCTTTACTAAATGGAAAAACTACTTTACAAGGCAGCTTAAACCAAGGCACATCTACTGGTACATTCATGAAACTCAAAACATATTTACATGCGTTGCGACCGTGGTCATTATCTTGCAGTTTGGTACCAACGTTGATGGGTTCAGCGCTCGCGTATCGCTCCCAATGGTCAGCCGATTTTAGCCTTATTACATTTTTCTTAACTGCCTTCACCGTGGTTACCGTGCATTGTGCTGGTAATGTAGTGAATACGTATTTCGACTTCATCAAAGGTATCGACAAGCAAAAAGCCGATGATCGGACTCTTGTTGACCACATTCTCACCAAAGATGAGGTTTGTTCAAAGTGCCAACCAGTTTTGTTCCCAAATTTAATATTTTATATATTATACATATAATGGTACCGCGAAGAAATACGTTCTCCCTACCATTTACCCGAATTTTAAATGAGTTAAGAATTAAATTTTATTATTTGTTTAAAAAATATTTTATTCTATAGCAATATTGATAAAATCGCTAAAATATCCAAATCAATCTAGTTGAAAATTTGTATGAAATTGCATAATGCTCCAAAACAATCATTTCTAAACAATTTCTATTTCAAAAATATTTCACAGAATACAATATTGTATGTATGTATGTTTATATGAAAGTTTTATTAGAATTTTAATGAATGATGTTTCCAAATATTATTAATAATTTCCCTTATTATTTTCCAGGTAGTCTCACTGGGTGCCATCTTGTACATGGCCGGTTGCGCCGGTTTTATTTGCCTAGCCTTCTTAAGTCCAGCCAAAATGGAACATTTAGCGTTAATTTATTTTGGTGGCTTATCATCTAGTTTTCTTTACACTGGTGGAATCGGTTTCAAATACATCGCCCTTGGAGATGTAGTTATATTAATACTTTTTGGTCCACTTTCAGTATTGTTTGCTTACATGTCACAAACGGGGCATGTTGATTGGACAGCTATTTTTTATGCTCTTCCCTTGGCTCTGAATGCCGAAGCCATACTACATAGCAACAACACACGTGATGCAGATAACGATCGCAAAGCTGGTATAGTGACATTAGCAATACTCATTGGTCGCACGGCATCGCATGTCCTATATGCTTTGCTGTTGTTTACCCCATATAGCGTATTCGTTGTATATGGCTTGAAATATTCGTTATGGTTTCTATTGCCGCTCGTGACAGTACCACAGGCATTTCAGATTGAAAAACGATTTCGCAACGAACATACCATGAGCGCAGTGCCTCGACAAACAGCTAAATTAAATTTCTTTTTCGGCATACTCTATGTGGTAGCGATATGTTGTGCTAAGCAATTACCCGACTTCAGTTATCGCAAACATTAGTATGAACAATATTTATTTAAATACTTTACTTTATAATTGTAGTTATTCACTAAACACTAAAATTGATATTATCCATAAATGATATGAATTATTACATACATTCATCAGATACAACACAAAATTTTGTAATGCTTCCAAAACAAGGTTAGATTGAAACTTAAATGAGCTAAGAAAAGGTTATAACATTATGAAATAAATTATATACATAGATACATATATGTACTCGTATGTATGTAGGTACAGTTTGGATACGTTTAATCATAAACTTTCTATAAAGAAGAAAATAAAAGTAAAGCTTTTACAATAAGAAACCGAAGTTTAATCTAATGATTTTTTTGTAACGAATTGAAACTCTTTGTACATACATATATTGTAAACGTCATGAACATAGGGAATTTTTCGCAAGCGTTATAATCGTTACAATTATATAAAATTAAAATGATAACTACATATTTATGTACGAGTAAACTAGAAATTAAAGAAAATGCATTTTGAAAATTTGATAATACATTTTTTTTTAATATTTTATTAAAATTATTGTAATTCATTTTAAATTAATTCAATTTTAATTTCATTAAAAAGCTTGCGCATGCTGCGCTATAACTTTTAATTTTTTGTTGTGATCAATAATTTATTGTTTCATCTGTAAAGTTTTATTTTTAATTTAGTGTCTTTTTATGATTATTATGTTTCATATAGTGGTATTTTTGGAAACTTCGAAATTGCGTTCATCCTTAGTGAATTCACAGTTAGGTATTTTGTACTAGAAACTATTAATCTCATATTAAACGAACATGTAATTAAATGATTAAATAAAAGTTTTTCAAAGAAGGAAAACGGATATAATAATTCATTAAGGGTGAAATATGTACTAAACTAAAGAGAAAATAAAAAAAAACCGAGTTAATATTATTTGGCTTTAGGTTTCAAACTAATTGATTTATACTGAGTTGTATTTATATCTAAGAAAACGTTGCCTACATTACGGCGTACTTGGGCGAACCGAAAGTACCTATTCAGCAAGTGCAATAAAATAAATTTTTAAGTCTTTAAACTATTTGAATCCACATTTGATAATTTAATAGTTACTTAGTATCTTTCCACAGGCAATGCTTTAAAAAGAGTTTATTTTTCAAATACTATTGCGTTAAAATAATAGTGCATTTTCTCAACTCTGTAGTCAATAGCTCTATTTCCCACGGTGTAAATTTTCTTGTCTCTTTGACTCACCTAACGCGATTCCATAAAAAATTACTGACAATTGTTACTGCCCATCAACTCAGCAAACAGGACTAATGTAAACTGGATTACAGTAAATGTAAATCTGCAATCAACAGGCTTTTGAATCGGTCAGTCGCATACTATCTGAAATGCGCGCAATACCTTGCGATTACAACTTGTCAAGAGTCACAATACTAGCTGGTAATATGCCTACATACATACATATATACAGACATTTATGTAAGTGTGTAGATGTATTAGTTCGGTTCGCCATATGAGGAGGTACTGACGACAGCGGTTAGTTGTTCGGTGCACTCGCACTGCAAGTTCATGTTACATTGGCACAAGGAGCACAGCTTTTGCAGGTTGCAACTTTACGCAACAACAAAATAGCCGGTGTAAATAAAACATTCGAACGTTTGTACACATGCATTTGTATATATGCATACATACATGTACATCTGTACACACATACGTAAATATGCAATTTTTTTTTTATTTAAAAGAGAGTGAGAGCTCATTTACTTACATCCATATGTATGTACGTAAGTACGCTGTTCTTTGTACAAATATACACATGTCCGTACTCGTAAATGCAATAGTGCATCCATATGTATCTATAGCATGTAATTCGCGAAACTTGAATCGCGTTTAAAAGGGCATTTTTAATGTCACGTGACGACTAAGTGCTAAAAAATATGTAGATATTTATATGTAAACAGATTTTTTCGAATGTATTGTGAGCATGCGAAGCGGCAACGAACAAACTATCGCGGGTTAACCCAGTAAATATCACTCGGGCCTCAGGTCACACAACTGTTGAGAAGGTACTGGAAAGGCGCCTTAGACTCTTCAGCGTATTCAAATGTTTTCAAATAGATAAACCTAAGTGTCATGGGCTAATGTTACCTGCTGACGGAAACGGGTTAGGTCGCTGAAAGGGTGACTCTTGGCGGGATAAAATTCGGTCGGGGTTTGGCGAACCGCTACTACCACAACAGCAATTTTAACGTAGAACGTACCACTAAGCAACTCTGAGTCAGCGTAGATTCCATACAACTCCACGGAGTTGAATGCTCCTCGGCAAAGGTTACCAATGCTCTCGAGTGTATTTCTCACTTGAAATAAAAAGCTCCTCACAAAAATCCACCAGACGATTGAAGGCGGCTTAATAATAACTACGATGTTAATTAAAACCTTTTTTTGAAGACGAGTTTAGGTATCCATGCAGTTTTTTCAACACCTGTATAACACCGATATCCTATTCAGAGTTTCCCTTCTTATTTACTGCTCCTTAAACAAACCATTTGTTGGAAACACATCAAGACACAAAATTACAAATTGGAGGAAGAGCTCGGCCGGAAATCGGTACAGCGTTAACAAAATTGCCAATTATATATATGAACAAATATACTTCTAATGCATTGTAAATAAAAAATATAAAATAAACATTACTTTATTTGATTAACAATAAATTTTACTATGCCCGTGCCGGGTATTATTAATTTTAACTGCCTATTTACCTCAAATCTTATACATACTTACATAAATATAAGAAATATTTGAATTTGAATGAAGTTTAGACTCAACTTCCTCTTCATGATGAATAATCTATTTGCAAACATTTCTCTTCTATTACTGAATGTTTTTGGAAATGCCCGTATGAACATGCATTTTTTTATTTCAAATTCTCTCACCATCATGTTTGGTTAAATTGAAAAACATATTGGCTCTCTCAACACTCAGTGGTGCGGCTAGGTAACAGAGGGACAACTCATAGCTGGATCTGGATGTAAATACAATTCATTTATTTTGTATGATACATATATACATACCTATGTCCATAGATGATAATAATAAAACCTCGATACAGTAACCACGAGCCTCAAAAACTTCTTGGCGGGCGAAGGGGCTAAGTACTGGTTGGTTAGTGGCCTACTGCTAAAGTGAATTGTATTCCTCTCATCATTGCTTAAAAATGGATGTAAGAGCAATCTCTTTTGTAAGACAGTATGCATAAATATTTGTACACAGTTACGGGAATATCGTACGTTGACGTTGGACAACAGGTCGACGAACGAGCAAAACAACAACATAAATGATCCATGTGCTCTTCGAAGTGCTTGCGTTTTGCTAGCGGGCATACATACATATATACACTTACATATGTGTGTGAATACAAATGCACGATTATGCAGCTGTGGATCAGCCTATTGCACTGACTCTGACTGGTGACTGGTGAATCGCGCGCGCCCTCTTGTCGCTCTGCTCGCGTGCACGAGAGTGCAGCAATGCATCTACCAATGACCGACTCGTCGATTGGGTGTAGCAGTGCCGTCCAAGTAAGTCTAACATTACAAAAATATCACTTTCTGCCATCTTCTGCGGCTCTGCTACAAAATGTTGATGAAGAAAAATCGTACAAAGTTTTTTCCAAAACTCTTTTCACCGGCTCTGTGTTGGTAATATTTTCATTTGTGAACTCAGTCAATCGAATCGTCAAGTACTTACAAGCAACCATATTTATTGCCTGATATGCCACTATTGCTTGAAGAAGGGTTCCTAGCAACCTAGATGTACATATTGTACATATACTCGTACATATGTATGCATGTATGTATGTAGGCATGTATCGTTAAAAATTTTCCTTTACCTATTGCTTTTCAAACATTATGTGCTGGGTGAAGGATGCAGCTGGGTACGCATGGAGTTAGAATCTAAGGGCGCCGCACATGTAACATACACGTATGAGTGCATACCTTCACATATATGCATAGGAGATGGGGCAAATGCATTTTGTCTAATGTCAAAGAGTTTTCCCATTGCGGTGTTGGTGCGTCTGTCCCCCGGCGAACGAGTATCTTGTTATGGTTTGATGTGTCTATGTGTGTATGTGCATACAATTTTATTGGTGCTAGTCTAACGATGTGCACCTACATACATATATACATATGTACATAGATGCTTTCTAGGCACGTTTATTGGCCCGGCGACAGCGCAGCGATGATAAGGCCTCGGATGAGAGCTCATTCTGACACGGAATACTCATTATATGGTGCAAAGATACGTAAATACATGTGTATGTGTGTACATGTAGAAAGAGCTATTTAGATTGCTCTCAATCTATTTTTAAACTTTCTTTTATTTGGAGAACTATTTGCACCTCCGTGAATACGTTCATACATACATATGTTTCTACACATACATACGTACGTATGTATGTGCATATGCACATGTGTGCAGGTTGATACTGCTCTGCACTGTTCGAGATATCGACTATTTAATAAACTGGTGAAACAAAAAGAAATACCCGGAATACCGTTATCAATGTAAAAAATTTTGAAAATCGTTAATTTACTTTCACCACACTTTCCGCTCATTCGCAATAGTGCATAGCAAGCAAGCGGTTATATTCTAATATCTCGCGAATTCACGCTTTATATGTACATATGTATGTGTGCTTACAACAATTCGTCGCACAAATGACAGCAGTTCTGCCAAGAAAAAGGATATAATCACTAGAACTAGAAAGTATTTGAAATTTTGTTTGGACTCATACGAGCTCTTAGCTCAATCAGCCTGACCAGCAGGTTTTCAAATATAGGCGTAGAAGCTACATTCTTGGGAATAATAAAGGCGCTGTACCATTTGGCGGAAATACACACATTTGTAAGTTCATCATCCAATTCTTACAGGTCCTTGCACACTATTCGATTTGAATGGTTTGTTCTCGTCCAGCTCCTTTTCTTTTTATATACTTGTAGGTGCGATATTGCGAAATTTTTGAACAGGAGCTGAATCTGAGCGAAAGGATAAGGACGATTTAAAATATGATGGCATAGAAAATGTATCTGGATATACAAATATGCCATAAACTGCGTCCCAGCGCGTCCATTAAAACTCACGACAATCGTTCAAGAATCTCCGTCAGTGGATAAAGCATTTAATAGGTTTTAGTTTGAAAACATACAAAAATATGGAATTAATTAAACATGTTTCAATTTTATTTAATAAAAATTTCTTCGGAAATGTATGCGAATTGACACTTTACCAAACAAAACAACAGCGAAATTATGACGTATTCACAAACAACAACAATTCTAAAGGCGCAATCTACACTACATCATTCTTGCATACATTCACATACAAACTCGTATGTCTGTTTGTGTATTTCATTATTCCACAAATTCATTCTCTCTGACACCTCCAAATATGTTTATTTGCTTGTAAATAGATATAAAATTATACATTAAGAACATACGAGTATGTAAACATGGCTACGTACTCCCTTTTATTGTACTCGTATATACCGATTTGGCTTGTGTCTCTCTTTTAGCATTTAACGAGCACATCTTTCAATATTCGCTGCTTGCCCAGTAAAATAACATCGTATGACGCAAACGCTAGAATTAAAAAAAAAAAAACATTGCAACGACTGTCAACAAAAACTCTCATAGTACCTGTTATGCGATCGAATTAAGTTTATTCGAACAAGGGCTGGCTGTAGCATGCGATTTTGTCTCGGCTGTTGAATGTTGGAGGAGTCCTATCCAACGCTGGCCACCAATTCGAGTTTCGAACAGCTCAATTTATTGTTGGCATTTATTCCGAATGGATTCGAGGGTCAAGATTTTCAGTTTTAATGCGGTCTTTATATATATGTATGTACATATACCGTACCACACCATACTACACTGTTCTAAATAAATAGAGAGCAAATGTTATTATTTTAATACTAAATTGTTATTATTAAATTCTTATTATTATTATTTATTCCATTTGTTCAATTACAACCGGCTGCCAGAAGTTTAGCGCGGGCGCATTAACTTTTTATTAGCCTTTAATAGAAAGGTTCATTGTGTGATGAATACAAATTTACATGTGTATATAAGTAAATATTTATATATTCGAATACACACTTATGTACATACATATGTATACTTGTCTTTTGAATGGTGATCGAAAGACAAGTTTACCAGTGAGAGCTGTTCATCAATAATCCGATAGTAGAAAGGAAACATTCTGCTCAGAAATAATATTTTAGCCATTTCTGGCTAAAGCTCATTAGTGAATTGCTCCATATCCCCCCATGAATCTAACTCGTAAATACATTAGATAGACTTTTTGTCCAACTGGACAAACCCGCAGCTTCGAGAAGCATAATACACATCTCATCTCAGGCCACGAATGCCGAAAATGTGCACATAATACCGTGAGGCAATTGTGGAAGTCACAACCGCGGTACACCAAGGCTCTGAGGACAAAAAATCGTTAATGTGCCCTTGTCATGGCCATTTTCAAGTCTGGTTTCTATCAACTGATTACCTATCCACTACCTAAAACTGCTGTGGGTACATATATACATGCGCATATCCACATCCTGTCGCTTTTAATTCTGGTACTCCTCATGCTAGGCAGCAGGCATTTCCGTCGGAACTTTCATTTATGGCCAGCGTGAGAGTGCGAACAATTTTTAGTGAAATTTCTGATTAGGAGAACAGAATAACGTAGGGCCAATGACTACCGTTGACTGTGATTTCATAGCATGTACATATGTACATACATACGGACATACAAATGTTGTTATTGTGGTGTGAAGCTTTATTTTGTTATTTTTGAATGCAGAGTATATAATATTTGCTTAGTTAGAACAGTGTGTAAATAAGTACATACACATGTACGTACGTACCTGGTGGCATGCGATAAATCGTTTTCATACTCTTCTAAGCACAACACTACAGAAGCATGAGCAATAAACAAAAATACATATAAAAGCACTAATAATTATGTAAAGCGGAGGTATTATATCTACATAGATACATACATATATATGTAGGTATTATACCTGAAAGAAAAAAAAACGAAACTCTCATATAGTTACTTAAATATGAATGTTCATATATACATATACACATACATATGTACATACATACAAATATGAGAATTGTGTGTATTTTTTTTAGCAATCTCGTTAGAGTAAAAAAAATCCGTAAGTTAAAATTTCGGTGATCCCTAAAGATGTCTTCATAGAACCGTAATGTGAATAGTTCATCCAAAGCAATATGAATATTCATAGTATACTACATATTTCACACTTTTTTCCTTGACTTTTAAAACCATTTGATATTAAAGTCTCAAGGCTTTAGCTAACCTACATACTGACATACATATATATATTTCCAGCAGGAAATGGAAATAAGACTTTGGTGGCCAAGAGGTAAAGTTGAAACTGGGACTTTGATATCTGAATTTATCGGCTTCTAATTTCCCTTTCAAATACCGTTTCGAATAAGATAAGTGCACATGTGTGTTTTCATTCTCTTTTTACTATCACACTAGCCAAGACACTCTTTAAATGAGGTTGTGGGGGCAGTGGAGAGAAATCAAAGCTTGCGACGCAAAGTTGCTGCTCACAATGACGATAATGCATTTTTTAAGTTTCCGGAATCAACGACGATGCACAAAATGAAGTATTAGTCGTATTTAAAAGGAAAAGTAAAACTCTTTACAAATATGCTGGAATTTTATTAAAAAAAAAAAAAAAAAAAAAGAATCGAAGAAAATCTACAATAATCTTCAACTAATATTACCGCCATACACGAAAAGAGTTCCAAACTCATTTTCGTATTTCAATCATCCTTCCTGAAGATAGTTTGACGGCTATAAATTATGTAGAATTCTATCATTGCTGAAAATCAAAAAATTTTGAATACCAACAATAAATTAAAAATTTTATATAATTTCCAATTTTAATAAAATAGAAAAAGTTATTTGTATAAATGAATGGACTCAAATGTAACAGCGAAAAAAACACTCTTATACAACTTTCTGACAATTTTTTGTTGAATCTGGTTCGGTGAAATCTCAGTAAATTTCTTTCTTTGGAAGATTAAAACATTTTACTCTGTTGTTTTTATTGTTGTTGTAGCAGTTCGCTAACCCAGATTAGGCAAAAGTTTGGTCAATCTAAGTCGCCGAAGTCATCTAATGGGAAGTCCTGGAAACGAGCTGTTTCGACGAGGTTGAACCAAAGGGAGAGGGGGGTTAGATGAGTTGGTAAAAGAGGGCATGTGAAGAGGTGGTTAGGTATGCTGGGGTCTAGTCTGAATAAGTAAGAGCTTAACTTGCTACAGTATCCAGACCTAAGTTGTGCCAAGGTCACGCGGGTTTCTCGAGGCAGCTCGAGATCGTTGTCTGCTATAGGTGGTGATTTTTCTCCGAGCACGTCATTCACTGGAAGGAACTCCTTGAAGGTGTTGCCTGACTCCTGGTGAATGGCGTTCAGTGCTTGTCTGTACGCGGTTGCTGGATTGTGTCCTTTAGATCTAGTAATCCCTTCCTGATGTGCCTCTTAATTGCCTTACTTTCTAATTTAGACATATTTTTCATCTTCATTTCCAGAAGGTAAAGCCAAATCTACACATATCTATCTACATTATTTCTCAACATGTATGTATGCACTCTTATATGTATATGCTCAATTACTTTCCTCAATTACTTTCCTAGTTTTCATTCATTGTTCTATCGTCCAGTTCAAGTCAAGTGTAGTTTTTAACGATTCGGTTGTTCGAGTATATTTTATTGATAAATGTTTGTATTGATTTTGTCTGAAATTGATCTGAACTTATATAGTATGTACCTCTTACGCGACTTTATTTTTTAAGGAAAAACTTGAAATGTGTCTCAGGGGAGCTCTTCGAGACGGTGGAAAGAACGCAGAAAATCAAATTTGTCCAATAAATATTACTGTAATGCTATAATCGCAGTATCGTTGCGGAAATCCATTAACCGTTATATCCTAATAACAGTAATCAAGATGTTAGGTGTGTACATAAATATTTCAAAGGTATGACATTGAAGGTATTTATGTAGGTACATTCATACACTCAAATTCTCAAATACCTACAGCAGCCTAAACTGCTCTATCTACTATGCGCATGCTTTAATACTAACAACAAAATATTATTGGAAACTGAATTAGCAACAACAGCAGAGCCACAATATCTAACATATAAACGGAATGGGAAGCTATGAAACGTTTGAATTGAGTGAAAATATGGCAGCGACTTGCTGTCCATGCTGGGTCGCTATTAAAGTAAAAACTCAAGTTTGCAACAGTTCAAACATTTCATTCCCCAACAAGGCCACTTGAGGCATTCGGTGTGGCCAAGAAATGTTTGAATCAAACGCCCACTACACACAGATCCATGATGACGAGAGCCAAAACCGGATGAAGGAGGTCAGCAAAGCTTCGTTGCATAGCAAGACAAGCCAAACACCGTAAGACTCGGTTAGTTTGGGCTGATTATAACATAAGTGAGTGAGAATGCTTACTACTACGGTTTGTGCCTGCTCCGCTTTTAACTCGTCGAAGGAGCAAATTGTAAATAGTGCAAAATGTGATTTTAGCAACAGGCGTCCATGCGGGACAGTATGGGTCAACTAAATAGCATTTTGAATAGCTTTGTGTATACGAGCTCTACATGCATACCTACATATAGTTGTACTACACATTTACGTACATATGTATTGATGTATGTATATATGAAGGCACATCTTTGCTCATAAAAATGAATATGCTCAATTGTAATATTATCTTAAAAAGCCAATATTTTAATATTATATATTTATGTATGTATGTACATATTTTGAATTTAAATGAAAGGATTGACTAGCACAAATTTTGTAAACTCAGTGCTGAAGTCGAAAAGTAGTGAATGAATTTGACGAAAAAACGTAAATTGCTGAAAACGGAAAACATACACACATGTCCATACATACTTCCTGGTATACCATAACAGTTCATAGGTCCAAAAACTTAATATTCAAATAAATATGAACATTTTTGAGGTTAGCAATAATAATAATATATTATATAAGATTTACCACTTTGAAAATTCTAAATTTCATATACATACATATTTAGTAGGTCTTTAAGAAATAGTTTTCCTTTTAAATGATTTTTCATATATGCGCTTCCTAGGAAGCGTTGTGCTTTGGAGTGGCCGTGAAGCTTCTGATGGAGCATTGATTATGTTCAAGGGAAAGTCTTTTTGTGCCTTCTTATTTTTCTTTTTCTTTAGGCGGTTTTCTTTTAGGCCTTTGGAATTGGTCAATAGTGCTTTGTGAGAAAGTACACGTATATATATATTAATGCGTATAATTAATTATTTATTTTAAGCTTGGTTTATTTCTTTTTTTTACTGGAGCAGAAAAACTCCTCAGCCTAAATTAGCAATGTGAGCTTCTTTATTTCGATAAATCAATTACCTCAATTTGCGATTTGTACCGGAAATTTACATTTTGGTATCAGAACAGAAGGGCCATCAGCTTCTAAGAAATCGCTCCAATCCCACACTCATTCAGCGACGACAGCAATTGTCATCATTATCGTCAACGCTGTCGGTATCAGCGATATTCGGAATCGCAATCGGTGTAGAATTATTGTAATCCTAGCCAGGCGCACAGAGACAAACAGAGTGGCAACCGTAACTCATTTGCTAAATGCTCGCTGGTGTTGGTAGTTTTTGTCAATGTCAGCAGGTAGACTTGTGGCTGACTCCAATGACACACGAAGGCCCGCAGTGGCGTTTGCTAGAGCGAATACAATACAGCTTTATCAAAGAAACGAATGATGGGTTGACGCTTATGGATGAGAATGTGTGATTGAAAGGGAGCATTGGCGTTGTGCTCCAACCGGCTGTGAATACAAAAGAAAACGAAACAAGTAATAGCTGATTTGGGTCGTCAGCAGTCTTCGCTTGAAAGCAGAAAGCTAGCAGCGCAGCTATTTATTTTACATTGGTCAGCCCAATTCAAATTTTTTAATTTCCTCAAATTATATTCGAATTCGTAATCAATTAATAAATTTTTGAATACCATAATTAGTGATTTTTTAAAAATAAATAAGCCAGACAGAGTTTAGTTGTATAGTAGTTTTGTATATATTTGTTTTAGGTAAACTAGTGGAACTGATGGACCAGCTTCATATGTAATAGATCCGATGTATGAATGTATGCGAGTTTGTATCTGACTCATTTGGAGTCGATTTTGAATTTAAACGGACTTGTTCAAGTTACATATTAACAACTGATGCCAATACAATAATTTGATGAATTCATATCATTATCCTTATCGTGATGACCAGGACTAAATTATTTGAACTAAAAAGTGAACAAATACAGTTTAATAATTTAGAAAAGCACGCTTTCATAGCACAGCACACTAAGAAATTAAAAATGAAAAAAATTTAAATAAGCTTAAAACAATAATGTGCAATGAATACTAGCCTTCTAGCCGAAGTCAAAAAGGTGTTTCGCTTAAAAATACTATGCAAGACGGAGCCGAAGGCACAGCCGGTGATTGTTGGCCAAGGTAATTTCTTTCGAGACTAGCCATAGTATCCACGTAGGTAACGGTAAAAAAGTTATCCATGGGTAAATTTCATACTCACTATATGTCTTTTGGTCAGACAGTATCTGCGTATGAGTATGATCAATGCTCATATACAGTACAATATTTTACTTGATTTTGCAAATATGAAACATGAAATATTAGTAATTATATCATTAAGGAACCAATCCAGAATCCTTGGCAGCGATTGCTCAAATTTCAAATATTATATTGTTATATAATCAGAAAATAAGTTTTTACGATTTGATAAAGGAACTTGAGATACCAATTCGAGCTGGACAAAACTGAAAAGTATTCTATCGATCCAGTAATTCCAGAAAACTACTTCTCGATTCCCAAATCAACTCAATCTTTTGGGCAAGTGAATCGATAGAAAATGCCAATGAATATGGTAAAATTGAACATCATCACCTTAAAAGCAGAAGACACTATATATGTATGTACATATGTATGTTGAAAATCATGAATACGTGTATCTAAGATGTTAAAATTCTCTTGCAGGAGAATGGCTTTCAATTATCTTCCAATTTATATATATTTAAATTCCATATAAAAAAGATTTAGTGGATTTTTAAAAGCCAATAAATTTTTCATGATGCCGGCAATGAGAATTTTATATTTACGATGTTCTTATAAATCATACCAAATTATAGTTTCAATTAGACCATACTATTGACTGCAACCCTGTTGTCGATTCAACCCTACGTTTTTTTGTTTCTTTTCTTCCATCGGTTTGCGATAAAAAATTTGCAGTAAAATCACTTTTTCGTTTGCATGTGGTTTTAGCAATATTAACGTTTGGCTAAATACTAGTATTAAGTAGATATTTTTATAAAATGTCAAATTCTTGGCTAAAGCGTAAAAATTGCATTGTCCTATAATAAGGCTAAGCCTTTACGAACAAACATAAGTCGAAAATCAGGTTTACACTGTATATGAGTGCGCGTGTATGCTGCTGAACATCATAATCCGCCGCTGAAGTGAAGACGTCTCTTTTAATCAAATTTCGCTTTTCTGTGAATGAGAATGAAGATAATTAAAACTAAATACGAAACGTTAAGGAGCAGTGTACGTTAAAACCAGCAAACAAAAAAAAGAAGAAAAATTGGCGAACAAAAAAATTTCTAAATAAAGATATTATATTTTCTGTGATTTTCCTGCGTTTCACGACAACAGGAAGAAAAAGTGAGTATAGTTTTATAAGGTAACATGTAATGTTCTTTTACTACTTTTTTTTTTTTTGTAAATTTTACAATTTAGTGTATCCTTCTCCGTTGCATTATTCTACTATGCGGCCGCAAGCACCTAGTGCTGCTCAGCAACAACACGATCACAATGCAGAAGAACTAAGCAAAGCAGAATGGTATTGGGGAGAAATCTCTCGGGAAGAAGTAAAAAATATCTTATCTGGTCAACCGGATGGTAGCTTTCTTGTGCGAGATGCCTTAAACAAAAACGGCGAATATACCCTAACATTAATAAAAGATGGAACGGAGAAGCTAATAAAAATTTGTCATTTGAATGGAAAGTATGGTTTCACAGATTGTAAATTTAATTCAGTAGTAGAATTGATTAACTACTATCGAATAAATTCATTAAAGCTTTATAACAAAATGCTTGACATAACGTTAAGCAATCCAATAGTGAAACCAGCGGAAGAAGACGATCACAGCGATTTACGTTTTCTTGCCGATAAGTTTCTCGGTCTGCATCATACGTTGAACAAGCAGCAGTACCTATTAGATCAAAAAATGAAAGTATTTAAAAACGTTGAAGCAGAGTTAAATGAGAAGAAACAGGATCAAGAAGTTTTCTTGAAAGCGGAAAAAATGTTCAAAAACCAAATCAAGCTATTGGAATCGTATATTTGTACTGCAGAGCAACCGCAAGTAGGCACAGCTGGTGTAATAAATACAAATGGTGGCGCCAGTGGGGGAAATGGAAATTTCGTAGTCCATCAACAGGATAAGGAAAAAATTCTAGCCAATGCTGGGTTACTTAAAAAGAAACTACAATCAATTTGTTCTGAAATGGGAAAATTAAACCGCTATGTCGAAGATAAAAAAGAAGAATATAAACGGCTGGAACGACAAATCAATGCAGCGAAACCAGAGTTACAGGATTTAAGCGCTGAAAAGGAATTGATTACAGAGTATGTAAACAAACTTTTTTTTTGGACATAGAATTTGTATTTATTCCAGCATTCAATGAAAAAATAATAGACGGCCATTTATTGCATTATTAATTAATGATTGGTTTAAATGTGGTAGTGCTTTCGCCTCAAGCCAATACAAAGAAATCCATTATTTCATGTCGTTTCAATATGTGGTGCGAATTATTTGCAATTTACAATGCGTTGCCATTATTATCTGCCCGATATCATTATCAATATGCATATGTATGTATATGTCAATGCATTTGTGTATATACATATGTATTTCATATGATACATTGATCGAATGCAGTAGGTGATGGGCTGCAAATAAAAAAGGCAGTCATAACTGTTATAAGAAATATGCAGTAACTGTTATACTGTAAAAATATTTTTTTTTAATTTCAAGTAATGATTATTTCATATTTTTATTTTTTTAACACAACATAACAGTTATTCTCAACGAAAATTATTTTTATTAAAAATAACTCTTTTGATGAAAAGTAAAATCAGCTAAGGGCAAAGTTTTCGATCACGAAAAAGAAATAACAGTTATTTTTGGTCTCTGAAATAAGCCTAAAACAAATGCAAAATATAAAAATGTATACAAAACTATATTTCATTTTTAATTATTAATTGAGAAATATCATAATACTTTATTTATTTATCGTTTTAAAATTTTCATTTATTTAATATATATATATATGTATATTTCTAGACGTCTTATGGGCGCTGGTATAAAAGAAGAAGATATCACTCAACTCGCCGAAATGGGTTTCGAAGCTTGGCAAAAAAGATATGAGAGTCGGACAAATCAACCGCATAATAACGACTCATTGTGGTTCCTTCGTGATTGTTTACGCCAAGAGGCCGAAGAATTATTGAAGGGTGCACCCACTGGTACATTTCTCATTCGGGCTCGTTCTGCTGGTCATTACGCCCTTTCCATTGCCTGCAAGAATGTTGTTAACCATTGTATTATATATGAAACGGAAAGTGGTTTCGGCTTTGCTGCTCCTTATAATATCTACGTTTCCTTGAATAAATTGGTAGAACATTACGCTACTAATTCACTTGAAGAACATAACGATACCCTGACTACAACGTTGCGAATACCAGTGAAGCATTGGCATGCCAATAAGGATTTGATTTTGAAACAACTGGAAGATGAAGAGCTAGAATTGGAACAGTTACGCTTAGAAGATCAGCAACATGAACTATTGCCATCTACTTATGCCATTTCAATACCAGGTAGTGATGCATTGGATGTACAAACACCGCCTTCTTCCCTGCCATCATCTTTTCCAAGCGGAAGTTTCGGGGGCGGCGCTGCAGGCAGTAATCAAAATCATGCTCAACCACAGTAGTAAACATTAGTTATCGAATTTTAACAGTGTTAAAAGTTATCAACACAAGGTCACTTTTCAAAGAGCTTCCACTGGTAGCCATAGGGCCGCAAACAATTTAAATACAAAAACCAGTTAAATTTAAGTGCTGTAAATAGAACTGTTACTTTTGGGCACAGCATTTGTGATGGGATGATGTTGCAATTTTATTGCATGTCTTAGATTGAACAAACATGACAATGGCTGTGATAATCCCAGCATGATACAAGTTTGATAGCAAATTGAATTTGAACAATACCACCTTAATTCTATAGAAATTAAGAGGTAATATCTTTAGGATACTTTTCTAACTGAGAAACACCGTATACCATTATATTTTGAATTGTGTTTTAGCAGCCGTTGTCATGGTGGGTGTGTCTTACAGTGATCATCGAATTATAGAAATTATTATGCAGCAGTAATTGTGAACAAACTTTATTAAAGGGATGATGTAAGTGCTGTTTTATATTTATACAATTTATATTTACGTAATGATAATAAACTTAAAGTCGAAATGTTTAATGTAATAATGGAAATGCAAAGTAGTTACTAAAAATGCATTTCTTTCGTGATATGTTTAGATGTAAAGTTTAAACAAAAAAAAAAAATGGAAATGACCCAACATGCTATGGCCTAAATATGTATTGCATTACTTAAATTTCAAAATTTTGCTAATACAAAAATTATTTGAGTATAGAATCAAACATTTTAGCTTGCACTTTTGTAAAGGAAATATTATTTTTGATTAGATGCAAATACTGCAAAAATAAAAGAAACTGACGACATTAAAGTAAAGTAATTAATTAAAACATCCACTTGATATAAACGTATGTATGTATGTACATATATGCTCACATAAATAATAAAATTTTATTTTCTTTACTTTATAGAAGAAAAAAGGGGATCATGATGCTAAGAAACGCATTAACATGATAATTATTGATTAAACCATTGAATGATAATTCGGATCTTTAAAGAAACATTTTGTAAGCGGTAAAATTTTTGCTAATATTGTTAAATCGCTGGTAATAATGCGTAAACGCCATTAAGAACGGTGTTACTAGCGTAGAGTAGACCGCTGTAATATATTTTAAAAACTATTCATACTGTATTTGCTCTTCCATCATATTTGAAAAATAATTCTTAAATAACATTTCAATTACCAATTTCGTGACAACAGCCTTAAGAATATTTCGATTTCTCATTATCTAAAACTAAGCACAGACTTAGGATTGTGAGGCAAGTGCCAAGAAAATAGGAAAACTACTCAACATGGAAATAACTTTTAAAATTTCAGCTGGTTGAAAAATAATCAAAAAAAATATACATATTATTTTTTTTTTTGTAATACAATGAACTTTTTATCTGCGGCCTTTTAATACATTTATCATAATTGTTTGAAAATATGCTTGCCATCAGTTTGTGTTCTCTAAACTTCATGTAATATCATTAATGTATTACATATATAATCAATCGCAAACCAACTCTCTGTTTTGCTAATGAAGAATTGAAAATTTTCATATAAATGCAATAAAATGTTACCGCAAACCAAACATACAATAACCTTATAATATTTTATAAATATGTATATTATTTAAGCTAATTGTAAAATAATGAAACGAAACTTGGTAATTTCATGCTGCTGAAAACCGTTGCAGTCAAAATATCGAAATGAATTACTTTAAAAGAATGTATTCATATATATAATATGAAGATTGGATCACTGCTGGCTGTGAATCCCAGAACAATTGGCAATGGCAATTTTAGTTCTCTCAATTGGAAATACTGAAAAAATATGTAATTACTACTTTCGTTGCTGGTTCCGTGTGTGAACGAAATTAAGGAGGATTTTAGATGAAGTTAAAAAGCACACAATCAAAGGAAATTGAATTTATTTTGTTAATGTTTGTATTTAGCAATCGGCAAACCAAATAAAATAACAGGGTTATCAAGTAATTGTTACGTTGAAACAAATGCAACTATATGGAAGACATGGTGTAGATATATGTAAATATATATATCATGTTATCATTTATAAACATATTATATATAGAAACACACAATGATCTTTTTTTATGTAGAATCTCTTATAGTTTTTGTATTTCATCTGTTTACTAGAGATTTCAATTATAATAATAATAATAATAATAATAATAATAACTAAACTTTTGTATACATATTTATTTATAATGCGTATTGAGTATGTCTTTTTTATAACTTTGCATTAAAATATCTTTTAAGTTAGTTTTTTAATTTTTGTATTTGATCTTTCTTTAATTGTATTTACTGAAATAACATAAATGCTAAATGTTTTCACACATATTTTCTTGTAAAATGAATTGATTGTAATATATATGTATATATGTATATTTGAAGTCGACTAAATAACAGGGTAAAAGTGTTGGACGGAAGTGAAAATGAATGAAATTGCCTTTAATAAAAGCGTTGGAGGGTTAGAGGAGGGAAAGTCGTGCTTATATTGGCGCCGCTAGCATATTGTGTATCCAAACATATAAGTATTTGTATGTATGAATGTTTTATAATTTGTGTTAAAAAATTTGTCATTATGTTTTGATTTTGTAAATACGTACATATGTGATAAGTTATTCAGAATAAATGCAAAATAAAATAACAAACATTTCTATGAATTTTTATGGCACAGGATATCAGAAATTGCAACGTGTAATTCAATAGAAGGAAAATAAAAGGGATGTGAAAGTAGTGCCAACATTTCAACTAGTTATCCTCGTGAGCTTAATAATTACTACTGTGTTGGCCCCTAAATACAACACATTTGCCTCGCCTTCAAGATGAACTCCTTTTATCCTAATCCTAACTGTCGAGACGATGGAGAGTTTTGTTAGAGAATCGAGTACTTTATTTTTCGATTACTTACTTGCACTGAGTAAGTAGCACTTGTTGGCAAGTGTGGGTTTGCGTTGAATTTTAAGACGGACGTTGTTGTTATTGTTAATGCTGATTACTTAATATACGAAGTTATATACGATGATGTCAATGAAGTCAACATCAACGACTTTCGCCAACACTCAGTTTACACAGCGTATAAGTTTTCGGGGATCCCAAATTTTGGTATAGTGGCGTGATTTAAAATCGATGAAGAGGTGGTGTGTGTCGATCCTCTTTTCATAGGACTTTTCCAAGATTTGGCGCATGGTAAATATATGATCAATGGTTAATTTACCAGGTCTAAAGCCACACTGAAAAGGCCCAATCAGTTTTTTTTCGGTGGGTTTTAGTCTTTTACACAATACGTTCGATAGTATGATTGGCGCATTCTGTGTCGTCGTCCTTTGTGTGGATTGGACAGAGCACACTAACCTATGTTCCAATCAGGTTTTTATCTAACCAGTTGATACATACACCTTATCAGTCCTTCGCCACCGTATTTGAATAGCTCGGCCAGCAATCCCGATTTCTCGATTTTCAACCGTTCCACATTCATTGCCATTCAGCAGACTGGAGAAAGATTCCGTCCATAAATTTAACATACTGTGGCATAAGTCGCTATTTCAACTATAAGAGCTTGCTCTGGTCTAGGAACATTCTTGTCCCTCATCTCGGATCTTATGTTCTTTTGACCTTTTTTTATTGGGAATGCGTAAAGAACAGTGAATCGTGGTCAAGATGACAATTAGTTAGAAGTTCCAGAAGTTTAGACCTTGTACGCATTTGAATACTTATTCTTACGGATCAGTGAAGTCAAACAAGTGAGTTTTAAATAAGTTTTGAAATCTCTGCAGGGTAAGCTCAAATGTTTGAATAAATGAATGCTTCATTTATAGTTCGCATGTGCCATATTCTCAGTTTTTGTGTTAGCTTTTTTTTGCATACTACATATTTATGTGTGTATGTATATATTGTACATAATCTGCGCAGTAGTTATCACGAAAGGAATTCGTGCAAAGCGTGTGTGATAGTTTCCCTGCAGAGAATAGTACTAGTACTAGTTTGGTTCCTAGTAATCAGCTTCTTATTAGTTAAATACGAGTTCCAATTCATTCATGTTATTGTTGTAGCGGTTGTTCCACCCGCTTAAAGACAGGCGAGTCGAGGTCACCTAACGGAAGGTTTAGGAAACAAGCTGTTCCGAGGGGTTCGGACCAGAGGGAGATGGGTCTAGATGTGTTGGTTTGAGGGAGTTTGTAAATAGGTGGCTGGTGTAGGTGCTTGTTACATGCTTGGGGTCGAGACTGGATAAGTAGGAATTTAACCTGCTATAATATCCAGACCTGAGTTACGCCAGTATGTTGCGGATTTTTCGAGACAGCTCGAGTTTTTTGTCTGCCACGGGTGGTAATTTAAGTCAGAGGATGCCATTCACAGAAAGGGAGTCTTTGAAAGAGTTAACTGCCCCCTTATGAGTGCCTGTACGCCGTCCTGTCCAGCGCTTGTTTTACGTATTGCTGGATTATGTCCTTTAAATCTAGTACTCCCCTCCCTGAAGGTGTGTGAGCTGTCAAATGTGACTCCCAGTAACTTTGGGTTGTTTGTGGTCAGAATTTTGACGCCATCGATCTTCACATCAAGTTCGAGCCTGGTGAAATAGAGTAGCTTAGGATTTGGTCGGCTGTATTTTTTGTTGTGCAGTGAAGAAATGGGATAGGTCCTTGAAACAGTCGAGCACTATAGATAGCCCATGATATCAGCCGATAGGACTTTCCTTTGATGGCTGGTTTCCCCGGCTTGAGTAGCGGGCCCACTCTGTCCATTTTCCTCATGTCGGGTATTTGTAGGGTGGCCAAAGACAAATTGAAGACCTTGGTGTGAAAATCAGCTTCCACTTGTCCTAGTTGTTTTACCATCGGCATACTTGTTCCGATGATCTCCTGTTTTCTCCAGACAAGCGTTTTGTGTGTGATTAATGGTCCTTTCCGCACTGGCCACGACGAATATTGAAATACCGCATACGCTGGAACGATGAGCTGAACTAGTTATACGGTGATATTGATGGTGCACACGCAATGAAAGAGAAGAAAATTATATATTTTGTCGTTGAACAAGAGATGCTCAATTAACGAAATCAGCTCAACGATATGAATTTGTTTCATTTCGACGCCATGCTATCCAAACGAAGTGAAATTGTTGAAATCGCAAAAGCTAACGATCGTTCAGTTTATTTTACAATCAGTGCTTGAAAAGAGAAATATGGAAACTAATCGAATATTGTGCCTTTATGAAGTTCCTTTTGAAGCAGAGAAAAGGAGTAGCGACCATAATAAATGAGATGCATTTACTTAAGGCGACTCCTGTCCGGGAGAAACCAAGATGAACAAACGACACAGTTTATTATAAAACCAAGGGAAACCACTGGATACCCTGCAAGAAGGCTTCCCATAATTTGAGCCAACATATATCAGAAATGCATGATACTCGTAGGACGATTTTCCTATCACGTTCTTAAGGCCGAAATGACAAATGTGATGTTTACATTTGTATGCGTGTAAGTCATTTTCTCTTCGTTTCGTATTTTCCCTCATTATTGTCGGACAAACAGAACACAGCTGAGCGACAGCATCGATACCAAAAGAAAACAATATTGACGTCAAAAACAGCAACAGTGCCGTACAAGGCGAACACATATGACGACAGCATTGATGCGGAAGGAAACCAGCTACATAGAAACATAATTAAGATTCAGTCTTTATTCCAATATTTTACATAGATCATTTACATAGTTTATATAGCATCAAAGTAGCAATAATACAGCAATAAATACATTTTCGAAAATCTGCAAAATATTGTAAGCAAAACTGTATATTCAGTCTTCAAAATTGTCGTGTATTTGTGATTTAGCTCCTCAGTTCTACGAACGCCTCCGTTTCGCGGGTGGGGCGGCCCGAGACCGGGTAGGAGCGTCGAGATGACTAGAACTTATCCGAAAAGTAAAAAATTTTTCTCGACAATGCTCAACTAAAGAATTAACAACATGCCGAAATAGTTGGCGTACCCTATATAGTATTTTTTTAAATATTGGGCGTTTTTTGGATGACTGCGCTCAGTGCGGGATGAAAGCGAAGAATGCTCACGTCCCCGCAAAACCAACACCCTCTATGCGTTAGCTGCCATCATTATATCAAAGAATGTAATCTCGAAGCTTATATTCGATATCGTGCTGATCAGGATGATCGTGATACTCGCCTGTTTAAGCGCGCGATAAACAAGACGCCCTCATAATATTTTGGACACACCCTAATGCGCCTTTGGCCTATATAAGCCGTGCTTGCCAAACAAACCAGCGAGATTTCATATCAATACTACGGCAAGCGCGCACGGGGCGACAACATTTAAAACTAAATTAAATTTATATATTTATATATGATATCAATTATTCATTTATGTTCACCTAACATTAATTTTTTATAAATTATCGTTAATTTAATTAAAATAAACATACATATGTACACATATATAAAAACGAATACGCGAGTGGCTTCTTTATTTCAAGGAAACTCGAAGAAGGTACCTCGCGTAAAACACCGCCTTTAACTCTTGTGATTCAAAACAGATCTAAACAGCAACAACTAATGAACATAATCAAATTTAACCGCCAAAATGAACAGTTGTATAACTTGCTGGCTAATTTTAACTGAATCCTGTTCGGTAAAAACTCGGTACATTTCTTTCTCTAGGGAGAGTAAAACATTTTACTCTCTTAAATTCTCAGCGAACACAATCTTAGAGCGCTATCATCCTGGACTTGTGTACATACATACCTACTTGTTTATACAATATTTTGTTTCTTTGCTATGCCGCAAATTTCAAAGAATGTTGCAAATAAAACAAATGACAGCGCTTCTACAGGCTGCAATAATTTAAGAAACCACTACAACATAAGCTGGAGTAAACACCGATAAGCACATTTCTACGTGACAAGTTTCCCCTTCAGAACCGTGACCACCAGCCCTTCCACACTTACATAAATAGATACAAATTTTACCGAAAAAATATTACTCAAGTGTTGTTGCGTCCGACTCAATGTGACTTGGCTTGAAGATTTTAATAAGGTTCCCGTTCCATCTCTATAAGTAAGAATTAATAAAAAAAGTGTGCTGCAGTTATTTGCATTTTGTTTTTTTTTTTTATTAAACCAACAAATGTTCAAGTACATAACTATGTATTTTGTTTAAGATATAGTATGTACATACATACAAATAGTTTTTTATCCATAGATTTTGCTTATAGCTACTTTTTCATACTACAACTAGATAATTAATAATATATTAATGATCAAAATTAAATCACATAAAATATGGACAAAGGACGCAATTTATTAATCCTTAATGTCTCAAGGCGGTCAATATGACCGATTCTTAATTTTTACTTCCGACATAACTATCTATGGCTCTTATGTACAAAAATTAAGAATTATAAAAAAAAATATAAATTAAATGTTCTGTGTGTACATTTGGGTGTGGGTGATGTCGATATGTTGAAGATGTGTGTGTGTATGTAAAATACTTCGATAAATTTCTCTCTGCTACAGCTGCATTTAATTTCGAGTTCATGGCAGTATGTCTTCGCTCTGCAGTCCAAATTTTAATTCAATTATAATTCCAACTGGAACTGTTCATGATCTTCTATTTTCAGTGATTGCGTTTTCTTTACTAAATCGGCTGGCGGAGGGACACATTTTCGGAATGGTGTACGTGGTGTACCGCGCAGAAGACAGTTGGGCAAATTGGAAGGTGGGGTCTGACTCAGCGGAGAAGCTCTAAGATCTTTGAGGAATGCCCGCTCGTAGATAAGCTTGGTACCTGCAAGCCAAACAAAACAAAAAGAACAATTAGACAGTGAAAATAAAATCATAATATGATAAATGTGTGCGCGTTTTCAAGAGGTAGAAAATATTTGTGTTAAGCACTGTGTGACACATTACACTTCTTCGCGCTTTATGATTCATTTTGAGCATTTCATTTAATGTATCATGACTTGAATATTGCTTGGAAAGCATTTTTTACAATTCGATCTCGATTTTCACCTCACTCCGATTACACAAAACAAAGGGGAAAATCAAAAATTGCTTACCACCAGGTGTAGTCGAGTACAAGGTACCACCGGGAGTCGATGAGTAGACTTCGGGCATCTGAATGGGGTCGGTGATTAATATTTTTTTGGTTCTTGGCAGGACTTGGCTGAAAGCCTGACGAGCAGTTGGTGATGCTGACATATTGCGCTTTTGCTTTCCTTTATTTTAGTACCTCGAAGCACAAATTTCTTTCAGTTGATTTCAATTGACGAATTTTTTATAACCTTGGTTACTTGGCACACTTTATTGCTTCAATTTAATATGTATTGCACAAAAATCGCAAACAATCGTCGTCAGGAATTCAGAAAATTTTTCAAACTGTAATTCTTGAGTAAGAATACACTTTTTCCGGTTTCAAATTAGCGCACTAAGTTGGGACAAACAGATTCTGCGACAATTTCCCGTTCCGAGTCAAACGAAAGTATGAACTGAACTGTTGTGTTTGGGTGGCGAGCGTTCTTATTTATACCAGAACGCTGACGGAGCGTAATCGCAATGGCGTACGCAACGGTGAGCACACGCTCAGTTGGTAAACAACTCACTGCGATATGTTTGTGGAATACGCCGCCCTTGCATTAACGATAGGGACGCGGACACAGGACGTGGAAGGCGAAGACGAAATTGACGTCGCAGTTTATTTGTTTGTTCTAGCGTGTGCTAAAGTATTCTTTCGGGGTTTCATTCAAGAGTGTTAGTTTGCTTGTGTTTCTTATTGTTGTATGGCTTACTGCTGTTGGTGGATGTGATACATAAAATTATTGCGCACTCTGGAAGACTTTTAGTATTCACCATCTGAGCAATTCTCTTGTTCTGAGAGGCTTTTTTCGTTGTTTATGGGTGAAGTTTGCCTAATTCATGAATGTACATATGTACATATGTATGGACAAGCAAGAATTTCGAAATAAAGAAATGTATTTTGTCGCTTTTTGCATTTACGTACATATTTACATACATACATACATTCATACATACATATGTACATAAGCACGTTTGTCAAATGTGTAAAAAGTCGATTAACAGTGTACGAGAAGTTTAAGAACTAAATTCATGCTTTAGATGCGCACATACATTCATACACACTTTACTGACTATTTGCAAATGCAATAAACATTAACTCTTCAAAAACACAATAAAAGAAAATGTAAACTGAGAAAACGTCAATAAACAACAAAACACAAGCAGGATCACCTGAGCAAATACATACATACATATATATTACCTTAGGGTAATCTAAATGATTATTTTGAAATTTCCTCCGCCTTTCTCTTAAAACGATAGAAAGTCGAAGACTAAAATTCAATAATTTTTTTGGACGTATTCTTCTTCTTCATTGGCATAGACACCGCATACGCGATTACAGCCGAATTGACAATGGGTCTGGGTTGGATTTCAAGGCTAATATTATTATTGGTGTAAACGCTGGTCTCCGCGGCGTTCGCGGTAGTCGAGCGGTATTCGGAAGGCCCCATTCAACATCCAAAAGATATAGAAAATTTAAAAAAATAAGAAAAAATTAAATTAACTTTTCTTATTGCGGTCGCCCTTTGGCAGGAAATGTCAACTCCTCGGAGTGTACTTCTGACATGAAATAACGGCTTCTCATAGAAAACCATCAGGAGGCGGCTTAGTATAAACTGTAGGACCCTCCATTTGTTGGAAAAACATCAAGACGCAAAACCACAGTGAGGTACTTCATCTGGTCTTTGTTCACTGCCAGACTCATTCGCTGCTTTGTACCCTAACAAGTCTGGAGAAAGTAGAATTATCCACGCGGTTGTTAAGGCCGATGATATCAATGTCATCATGCATAGAAAAATACAGTTGCGCTAAATTCATTTATAACAGTTTACATAAAAAATAAAACGAACAAAATAAAAGCCGGTTTTTGAAATACCCTATTAACCATGTTTATGTATGTTTGTACAAAAATGAAGCCGCATGCGGTAGACGCAAATTGAGTAGAGAAATTCGCGAGAGAATATCAAACGACGCAGTAAAGTTTATACACATATGTACATACATATGTTGATATTTACGAATGTAAGTATCTTAAGATTTTAATATATAAATATACTCGTATACTTATATACATATGTGTATGTGAGCTATGTGTGTACGCATGAGGAACTTCTATACGATGTGGGAAGGTTGTTGATCGACAAACACATATGTATGTATGTATGTGCCAGATATATACATAGATAAATATGTATGTATGTAAACAAATCTTTTCTGTTGCGTTACATATCTATGTATGTAACATTAAAAAAAAATGCGATATCCTCTGGTCAGCAAATTTATATTCTAAATAAAAATATACATATGTACATATGTATGTATGTAATATTTTGTTAGTGATCATCAAACACATCAGAGGCGAATGTAGATCATTCGTTGTGGGCAAGTTCGATATTCTATTTGTATGTACATACGTGTATGAATGTACATATTCACAAACGGATGCAGACGCATTTTAATGCACACATCCATGCATACGTACATCAATAATGAACTTCTTCTCTACATACATATGGACACATATGTATTTGTTGTCAATCAGATCGTTTTCTTTCAAAAGAAATGTGATTATGACTACCCGTATGCCGGCATTACAGCTATAAACTATTCTAAATACACACCTATGTACATACATGAACGGCATGTAGATGTTTGTATGACGTGCTACGGCGTAAATACAATAAATGTAAGTATTATATGTGAGTAAATGGACCTGAAATGGCGTCTTTCTATTATTGTCGACGACACGTGTGGTAATTTATTAAGCTCCGCTATTATTTGCAAATATATATACATACGTACATATGTACATATGTAATATGCAAATAAGTACGTATGACTGTACGTTTGTACGACTATGTGGGTGTGAAGGTCGAAAGCATATGCCTATGTACATACATATGTATGTACATATATACATATGTACATATTTATATATATTTTTAAATCGATTAATTGCAAGGGAGGAAGTTCTTTAATGATCACAGGTATTTAATAGCATTTATATATATACAAACATACATACATACATATACATATGCATATATGTATGTACATATGTATGCGTGTATGTGTATCCATATAATGGAAAATAAAAATTTACATGCATATGTACATATGTGTGTATATGTAAAATTACTCCAGCTTGTTGTATATTATACAATATATGCATGTATGTAAGTGTGTTTTAAATTTTCACTGGCAACATATGTATTCGTACTGTACATACATGCATATGTACTTATTTAGATGAATAATTATTTATGTACATCACACATCATACATGCACGCACAAAATATCTTACCCATCCTCGACGTTTACGAGTATGTAGTCCATGTACGTTCGCACGTACGCAGTTACTTTCATTCATCAATGAAGAATGTACATATGTATACACTCGTATTCATATGTATGTATGTATGTATCTCACATAAAATTACCGGCTGCGCTGCGTCAGTGGCGAGTCATTACAAGAAGATGCAATGGTATTATATTCATCCCTCACCGTGGCAAGCATCTGAATCATTGTACGTTTGTATCTACAAATGTATGCGCATGTGTTTATGCACTCGCATACCTGTTATTGCGTATTAAATATCCTTATCAGTTTATTTGTAAAAAATCGACTTACAATCAACGTAGAGCGTATGGCAGATCTTATGTATGTATAGTATGTATGACTATATGCATATGTATGTACATATGTATGCATGTATTATATTACAATAATTGGACAATAATATTAGTTGATTTAGCTAACACACCCCTTCCTTACTACATTCATAACATTAACATACATATGGCTCAGCCGGTTTATGTCAACAGGTGTGTGTTTGTATGTGTTTATGTAAAATAATATTATTTAATATACCCGCCGTCTTCTATGATGCACTATTACGTTTTAGGCGAGTAAAAAATCTGGTAAATCAGGTTTAAATTTTAAAGAAAAAATTTCTATATGAAATTTGTGTCGATTATAGACACATAACTGTATTGTTTACTTGTACATATATGTATAAATATACTATTAAAAAATGTGTGAAACATTGGGCTAACTATTGGATTGCTCCTCTGTAGTCCAGCGTTGGACCAACACACCTTGCGCTACCGGCTTGTTATTGACCGATGATTGCTCGTGTTTTATCAATCGTAATACTACTAAGCGAGGTTGCAAGTACGCAATAAGTTTTATAGTGGTATACAGAAACTGAAATTGAGTCGGATTCCCTACAGTGGTGAGCTCTGCTGGTAGGCAATAGACGTCCGGAAGTTTGGGTTGATATATGTATGTACATATGTACCAATGCAAATTAAAAAAAGTGCAATGATCAATGGCACCATAATGAATAACATAATTATTATAATTTTAAATAAATATTTAAGACATTAAAGATATCGTTAAGGCTATTATCCTTTTGAATGAGGCCTACATCTATGTACATACATATATGCATACATACATACAAATGTATTGACACCCAAGTCACCTGATTATTGTTTTTCATTTAGAATATGCAAATTTGCATATGCATGTACATACATATATACGTATTGTATTTACATATTTATGTATAGACACATTCATTCACTGAAAATGCTAACAGTAAACAAAATGCTTCTGAAACAGTGTAGAAGATAAACAACAACAGTATTTGTAATAATTGAGCGCAAACGAGTATTTTGTTTATTTATAAGGTTTAAGTATGTATATGCCTACGTGCAGACAGACTTATGTACACATACATATAGTTGCTATATAAACTAAAATGTTCTCTATAAAAATATCAAGTGAGAAAGGAAAACATGACTTCAAAAATCATAAAATGATTTAATCATAATTACTATGCACGCTAAATTCAGGCATTGAAAAAATAAATTCTATTAATAAAATGTGTAAAAAGTCAAATTATCTGTAATGGAGCTATTAATGTTGATAAGATTTCATAAACTGAGCTTCTTAGCACACATATGTATGTACATACATATGCAAACACATAATTGTTTATTTGAATAGTTCTCGATTTGGTTTTAAATTGATAAAGAAATAAATACGTACATACATATATCATAGAATGTATAAATATAAGATATTTTCATTTAATTAAAATGAGAAAAAATTTAGAGTACAACTTAAGTGGAGGAGAACAATATTGAAATATATACACAAAATGTATATATTTCGCAAGCTTACAATATCATTCAAAATAGCATCTAAAATAAACCTGGTATTGATACGCAATCTGTGTGAAAAATCTTTCAAGCACGTGTGCATATATGTATGTATGTATATATAAATGATGAAAACTCTGAGTGAAATATATGTAGATGAAAATACGTTTCAAAAATCACGAAGTCCATGTGGACGTACGCACATAATTTTGAATGTACACATACATGCATACATGCGTGCATACGAATTTACACGAAAATTAGGTCAACAAACGCTACCATTAATAACAACGCGCTGCCAATCGCATCAATTAGTCTTTCGCAGCGCTGAAAACATCTCGAAAATTTTCAAATATCTATGTACATATGCTTCTTCCAGGTTTCAAATACATACACCACGTGCTAATTAAGACATTTACATACATATGTACATACACATAATGTATAATATGTAGTTATGTATGTATGTATGTATGATAGGAATAGCAAGCTTTAGTTCATGACCGACAAAGTGCTGATTAAATGTGAGCAAATCGTTATGTATACGAATATATACATAGATGCACATGTATTTATGTATTCTTCAGGTTTATGAACAAAGTGTATTCAATTAATTACTGTTAGTTTTAGAGACATTGTAATGAGTACATGTGTGCCGCTTTGTAAATGGTACTGGTTTTAAAGAGCTTGTTTCATTATTAAAGTAAGAAATATTATAACAATTACCAAATTAACCAAATAGTTTGCAAATATGTATGGATAAACATATACTCGGAACGTCTTAATCAATGCCCTTGGCTTTTCATAAGAATTGGGCGCGGACAAAAGTTGCTCCATAAACGTTTTTTTGCGTTAAAGCTTTATACCTTGATCGGACCGACATCGAAAACACTCTGAAAGCGAGTTTTGTAGATTGTGGACTCAAGGGTGGTTTCCCCTTTTCTACATTAATATATATTAGGAAAATAAAAGTTTCACTATATTGAACAATTGAACACAACAAGTTAAAACAAAACAAAGCTAGACGCTTTTTCGGGTCGTTTTTCTATTGAATTGTTTTTGGGTTTCTTATGGAACTGTTTTAGACCATCCAAATTACAACAATAGTTTTAGACGGTAGAAGTTTACAGAATTTTGGCAAGGAAATCAAAATAATAAAAGCGTTAATAATAATTCGCTAATTCGCTATTCTCACTGCTAAAGGTAAAGTAAATTTTGTTACTTTTTTTTAATACCCGAAATTGAATTTGGTATTCTGGCGTACTGGTTATACTGTTTGAAAAAACTTTGGCAGCACTGCCTTTTTCGTCCGTGTTAAATTACATTTTCCATTTGGTAAAGCAAAAAAGAAAAATATTCACGGTGCACAACAAAATAAATAAGTTTTATTGATTTGTTTATTAAATCATAAATATTTGAACTTAATTTTGGAAAATACGTGTATGCCTAAACGACAAAAAAAAGCTGAGTGAAATCGCTATCTTCAAAATTAAAATTGTAGTTTTTTCTCGCAAACTTCTTAGCATACGTCTTTTTACATTATTTCTTCATCTTCAATGAATTCCAGGCCTAAAATATGCCTACCCATTTTGTTAGTATTTTTACTCAAACTATTGTAACAACACAAAACCAAACATTAAAATTTTTGTTTCCTCCTATTCCGCTCGTAACAAAATTTACAGGGCAACAGTGAGCTCAGAATACTGAATAGTAACAAAATTTACAGGGCATTTCTTCGACAGAATAGGCCTACTGATGTCAATACTTACTCATTCGCACACATACTCTTTGGAGAGAAAAACCTATGCCATCCACTGCGATAAAAATATGGGACAATCTAGCGTAAATACCAATTGGAATAAATGGAAGATGAGTTTTCAGTAGTTTTCAGCGAAAATTGGTTTTCGATAGCGGTCCAAACAAGTTATTAGATATACAGTATTGAGTAGTGCTCAATTCTATTTATCTATTATGTTGATCATTTCAACTTTTTACATAAACACGTTTAGAAAGATAGGAAAAGCAGATTACTATTCTAAGCTCTTCAGATTCTAAGCCTAATTAATAAAAATTAATACAATTAGTAAGATTTAACCGCAATACCGTTTCATATTTAAATCCTATTATTTGTTTGTATGTATGTACATTGAATTTCATTGCCTTAAAATAAACTTTTTTTTATTATTTTAGTATGTAAATAATAAATAAATATTTCCAAAGGAAAATAGGGCCACTTGAGTATGGCGGTGGTAAGTATGTACATATGTCTGTTGCCTTTGCACCTGTGTATACTATCTTTCGCTTAACCGAGTGTGAATACAATCAGACGTACCTATGTACATACATTTGTTTGTATGTATGTATGTATGTATGTAGGGGGTGTTGAGTCATTCCGAACGAACATTGTGTACTATTGTGCAAAAACACCACTTTTTACCAGAAGTTTGCTTGCATTTGTTCTAAATGCCATTTCCGTGAATCATTTGAGTTGATAAGAAAGCGATGGGGCAATAATTTGTTTACAGATATTTTACTTTGCATATGTGTGTATGAGTATTTTGTTTACTCAAAAACCTCATTTAAAATAAATAAATAATTACTTTTAATTTTCACTCAAACTGATATACATATGTATATACATACCATAGATAACTTTAATAAATTTTTTTTTAATATTTATTAATTTTGGCGAAGCGGTGTAATTTCCCATTGAGATTTCATCAGCTACAAAGATGGTTTTGGTTTTCTTCTGTTCATTCTCACACTAAATACAACGCATATATTTGTACATACTCATAAATTATCTCCAACAGACCTATATTTTATAAAAAAGTTTTCGTGTCTTTGGACACGAGCAGAGAACGCAGAACAATAGAGAGCTGATCTATCTATTACGTCACAATAACAAATATTTCACGTCAATTTATGTATGTAAAACAACTGTATTTGGTGCAATCTCTGCTTTTCATCATTCTTGCAGAGTAAATTTTATAAGACTTTATTTATGCAAAATACCTATGTACATAGGTGCTTCTAGCGAGGCTCTTAAGGTTGATGTAACAACAAAGATGAAGCGTTGTCATCCAACTCGGGCAATATGATTTAGCCAGTCTATGCGCTTAGCAATGTCAATATCGCCGTATAACCTGTTCCATTGATTGAAGCATTCGTCCCTGCTAGCTAGAGTAGCTGTATTACATTATACAGCTAGTTCGGTGAATATCTCTTCTTTGATTTCATACCTCTTTGGATCGGGAAGAGGATCTCCTTTGAATTAGTGAACATAATAAGAAAGTAACGCAATAAAAATACTAATAACTTAACTTAATCTTTCCTCGAAGTCGATGAATTTAATGCGCAAGGTCTTGATTCGGTCATTTCCTTTCATCACATCTTACATGCGCCGCGGAATATATGTACATACAGACTTATGTTACTTATAGATAAAACAACGTGCAAATTCGAGGAACGCCAATCGACGACCTTAATTCTGCAAATCATAGCAACAACCTTCGAGTGAGCAATGAACTCATGCCGACAAGTTTCTCCGAGTATCGCAAAAGAAATTCGGTAAATAGGAAAACGGTGAGTGAAAGCGTTAAAAACGATATTGTATGTGCATATGTATACACATATATACATACATATATATATAATTTTTCGCTGAAACCAGTACGAACTAGAAAATGGGCCAGTGATGACCTTGTCGCGCCTATATGTGCATGTGTGGTGGTTCGTGAGGAAATAAAATTGAATGCGCTATCAGCAATATCAATGTTTACTACGCCATTAGAAGGAAACGCCGAAACGAAATGCAACAGTATGCTTATTTTTGAAATGTGCTGAACAGATCAACACCCGCAGACACTTTCAGATAAGACTCATTCTCCTCCTTTGATAGGACTAATCTTGATTATATTATTTTTGTTTACAACGTTTTGATATATCATTTTCGCTTTCATACGAACCAGTTCAGCTGTAAACTTTTGGGGGATGGAGTAGTGACTTCATTGATAAATATACTTGTTTGTCTGAAGATCGTAGGACGAATGTTTTAAATTCCCGCAACTCGACTATCACTCTTTCTATCTGAGAACCTTCGTGCAAAAACCATTTGGGTTGTAAACAAGGGAGTGCTACTTTTGACTGACAGAAGTCATGCCAAATTTTTTGACGTACCTTTGGTTCGCTTCGCTCCGTTTTCTGAGATATATATTGTTACGATTTTACTAAATCCCCTCGATTATTTTCTAGATCCTTCGGGTACGATCTCTGGATTGTTAAATAAAAACTCGCCAACTTAATTTGCAGTTTCTTTCGTTATAAAGATTCTATCTAATGTCCTTTATTTTCTCAGTAATTCACAATTCAATTATACTGCACTTTACTATTTATAATCACTAACATCAACTTTCACAATTTACTCTACTTAAATGTAATTCCCAACGCGTTCACTTTACGTCTTCACTGATGTTAACGCCAACCAGTTCGCTTTGTCACTAACTTGACTTGCAGCTGAGTGTCGCCCTTATATAGCAGTCGGCTGCTAGCAGACGAAAGCGTAGAAGCATCAAATTATTCGCTATGGAAGGTTCTTGTTTTATCGTTTCTAGAACGTACAAGTTATCGGCTTCTCTCTTTCATCTGACATTCGCCTCGCATTTGCGCAACAATATTATATATCTCTGTCAAGCAAGGCGAAGTAGTTTTAATGTGAATCCACCTTTATCCTTAGCAACTTTACTTTAATCGATTATCTATTGTCTCAATAATAAAGAAATTAGATCAAAGCAAAGACACAAACCATTAATTTGCTGTCAGCTGTGTTTTGATAAATGACAGTTCCGTGTTTTCACACGAAATTCCAAAACTAAACAGCGAGAATCTGTAAATTTTTAGTTTTCGTGTTTTCTCGAGCATAAGTGAGAATTATTTATGATTTATTTTAAATTAGTGACATGCGATTATTAAATTGTTCATTTTTCACTTTCAGTAAACGATGCCAGAGCCCCGGAGTCCAATGGCGAGTTTCGCCCAGTCGGTCCACAATATCATCGACGGACCTGTAACTTGGTTCAGAGGTTTGTAATCCAGCACAATATTAAACAAAGTATTTATAATTCAATTTATGTGTGCTTAAACAATTTTGTACATCCAGAGATAGTGCGCAACTACAAAAAGTGTGTTTTCTGCCACTTTTATTACATAATGTCATAACCTCAATGGCTTGCAAGCGGAGAAACAAAATGTTTGTTTACTATGAAATTAATTAAGTTCTTCTCACGAATTTTAGAAACTATCGTAGAGCCAAATCAAAAGAAGCAAGCATGGTACCATCAACGTTTCCAACGTGTACCCACAATCGACCAATGCTACACTGATGATGCCGTGTGTCGCTTTGAAGCCGACCAGCAGTTCCGCCGTGACCGAATGGTCGAAAACGAAATTGTTTCGATTTTACGTCAACGTTTCGAGGACTGCACATTATATGAAGCACCGGATCATATGAAAAAATGCAAACCAATTTTAGAGCAATACGAGAAGGCTGCTGAGAATTGGTTTATAAAATGCAAGTGCAATCAATTTATGCGTAAATAAGCTAAAATAATTAATTTTAATTTTGCTGCTTCACTCTAGACGGTGACTTGGGAGGATATGCCAATGCGAAAAGTGCGTATATGAAGCAAAAGCATCGATTAATATGGGAACGCCGCCATGGACCTGTCGGTAGCGGAATGAAATCCGAAGAAGCGTCAGCCAGCCCAGCTGCAGAAGAGTAACAAAACCCATTGTTTGTGTAACTAATATTAGATATTGCAATAAAATGTAATTAACGGTGTAAGTTAGTAATCGCTTCTGTCAAAACCAAAACTTGCAGATTAAAATGATACTTATACCGATTGAAAATGAATTCGCAAAATGAGTTCTCGTGCTTAAATTTGGATTTTAGTTAAACATGGTCACTGGAGAATATATGCATACGATAAAACATGCCATGTAAATTTCAACTTGAAAATAAGCTAAGTAAGCTAACCTAGCATCAAATTTCAATGCTTTATAAATAAAACGTATCATTTACATGGTAAACTGATGTAAAATTTGCACATTTAATTCTCTTAAAAAATTTATAACTACATTAATAATTTACATGATGTTAATGTTAATTTTTTTTGCAAGAAAGTATGCAGATGTAGATAATTATTTTTGTGGATTGCATTTGTTCTTACACTATAATCAAACCAAACTTTGCTAAAAACATACACACCTAAATAGTAAATTAAACAAAATATGCTCATAGTTTTTCTGTAATTTTCAGTACAAATATATAATTTAGGAGTTGCCGTTATAAGTCAGTTATTCCTTTCGAAAATTTCAAATAGCTATAGTTAGCTTATAGATACCAGAGGCTTGTCCATCAAGCTTTTTTTCAATTTGGCCAAAGCGATTGTTTTGGGGTCATTGCTTTTTTCGCGTTTTATATTCTTAGCACCTAACGGTATCATTGTACTATCATGTAGACGTCTACGAAATAGTTTATAATATTGCAGCACTTGTGCATTGGCCCAAACCTGTTTTGGATCGAAGTCTAATATACGCAAAGAATCTAAAGATTTTGCTCGCGATAGTGCAACGTATGCCTGACCAGCCTCAAATACTTTTGAAAGTGACATCTCAACGCAGTCTAATGTAAGTCCTTGACTCTTGTGTATCGAAAATGCCCATGCCAATTTCAAAGGCACCTGTCTTCGAGTAATTGTGCCCCCAGATGCTGTTTTTATAATCCATTTTTCATGTTTACACAGATATTCACGGTTATTTTTAAACCGTACAACGGGCACCCCCTTTTCAATACGAACAACAACACCACGTGCACCGTTCACCAGACCAGCAGATATGTTTATATTTTTTAACAACATGACTTGGGCGTTAATTTTTAAATAGAGTTGTGAAGTTGCCTGGAGCTGTGAATCCAACTGTTTCGCCATATTAGCGTCAGAATCCTCAGCACGAAATAGGACCTTTTCACCGTCCAAACTCTCTAGCTTGGATTCATTTATTGAATGCGCATCGTTCGTATGTGAGCAAAGCTGTGTAGCCAGAATTCCATTTCCTTCAATTTTTTGCTTTGACGTTGCACGTAAACGTTTCGTTATTTCTTCATTAACATGCCCAATACGAATGTGATTTAAAATTTTCACAAATTGAGGGTCAGATTGCCTGTGAACTTCTTTTAACTCAAAGACACATTGAATACATTTCTCCCAGGCGTTCGATTGGAAGCAAAAGCGTTGCGTTGGTGTGGAATTGTTTTCCGTTTTAACCACAGGTGGTAGTTGCAAAAAATCACCACATAGTATCAACTGTATTCCGCCAAAAGGTTTATCATTTTTGCGCACATGTCTGGCTACAGTTTCTATTTTCTATAATGGAATATTATACATTTTACGAGATCATAATAAATTAAATTTTAAAGATGTGAAAAACGCATTATTATTTTGAGTGTATTAGCGACTATATAAGCTATTAATTTTTTTTAGGTTGAAAATTCAAACGGATGGGTAAAAGTATGTAAGTAATTTTAAAACAGCGTCATGAATATTTTTCAGAAATCAATGAACTCTTCACATCTCTACTATCATCTTATGATACTCACCTCAAAATACTGCCCGTCCACCATAGATATTTCATCTATAATAAGCCGCTTACATTTCCGCCAAATCTGAGCGCTTGCGGGACGGGAAGCTAATTCTATGCAACGTTGTAGTCCATAATCACCTCCGCCAATCCCTGCAAACGCGTGAAGGGTTGTACCACCTAAATAAAAATATACATGCATATAACAAATGGTATACTTGTTATTAAACATTCGTTTTTGCTTTCAATTAACCCACCAATGAGACAGGCGGCTACACCTGTTGAAGCAGTCGCCATAGTACCATCTGGTGGCAGAGCAGATATAATTTTACGTAGAAGAAAACTTTTGCCCGTACCAGCAGAGCCGGTGAAGAACACGTTCTTTCCGGAGGTGCAGGCCCGAAGTACTTCCAATTGCTCTTCACAAAGTTTGACCTTTTCTTCGACACCGAGTGAAGGCGTCGCTGTATCCTTGTCTTGGTAAAGCTTCTTGGCCGCAGGTGCCTGTGAAATCGATTTACCATCCTCTCTACTGATGTCATCGTAGCGTCGTTTTTGTGAAACCAGTGGTGATGTCGTTGTCGCCGTACCACGCCCCAACAAACCAGCTTTCTTTTTCGCCATAATCATCTCTGTGGTCGTGATCGGGGAAACCTCTTCGAAGGCACTTGGTTTACCCGAAAGCATATGTGCACGCAATTGCTTTTGTGTGGTCGCTTCATCCTTTTGTTCACCACCATTCAATTTTATGAAAATTGTACGAAGAAAGTACATTAATATGCCCGGTGGAGCATTCGAGAGATACATTACACAGTTTTCACTCTTAAAGTTAATTGATGCCTTGCCCTCGGACATAAATTTCTTATGAACCATTACATCTCTAAGCTTGAATTTAATCGGCTTAGCCTTCTCACCAGTGACTTCAACAAACAGCTCTCTCACGTCATTCCGAACCAAACGCAACGTAGCAGTTTTAAAAACTATTTTTTTTCCGGTCACACCAACCGAATTACTCCATAGGATATTTATAGCACAGGTAACAACGGCATCATTTAAATCCATTTTTATTAAGCTAGTTTTTATAAGAACTGAGACCAGTTGCGCCAGCAATTTTCCAAAGTGGTGCCCCAGCCGCCAAAAATGTTGATATTTCTTTTCTTTTAGCTTGTTCTTTCCACTGTCAATTCACAATAGTTTACCAATGTTGCTGGCCTTTATGTATATGTAAAATCCCCCTTTTATAATAAACAAATATTAATGTTGGTAAAGGAGAACCGTTTTCATAATTAACCGAAGAATGTAGAAACTTGGGTTATCAACATCAATACTTGTTTATTAGCAAATACATTAGCACAAGTGCAATTAATGCGGTACCACTGAGTCGCTCTAAGCAGTATTTTTAAGTTACGAAATCTATTATTAAATTAGGATATGAAATTGTATTATATCGTTAATAAACCGCTTTTTAATTGAGAATGGAACGAAACTGTTAGTTTACATTTGATCGAAGAACAAATATTCTCCCAAATATATGGCGAGAAATTTAATTGCAGCAAAGTATTGTATATTTAAAAGAATTTTTATTTAATCGTTATTGAGCAGCAAAAATGCAAACCTTAGGGAATTCGAAATTGTCATGTTTCTCTCTTGTTTTGAGCACAGCGATTCTCGTTCTCAAAGCTTGATTGTTGCGGCGCCCAATGTATCTGAGAGATACGAAGTGCCATTGTCGTGCGGTTGGCACTTTCGTCGGTTGGTGTTGCCGCTAACGTAGCTGTCACAGATAACGACGTCTCGTTGTTGTTCTGCTTCTTTTGTGGAAGAAGGTGGTGCGTGTCGCGTATTTCGCTAAATATTTTACAGATAAATGAATATGTACTTGATTGTCGAGAACACTGAAAACTAGTGAAACGAAGTTTGCCAAGTGGATTAAAATAAAGGTTTTCATAAGTTTTAAAAGCACACAAAATTTCATTGGCGAAGATATATGTAATTGTAAATATGTGCGTATGTAGATACTAATGCCTATCGAATTAAAGGAATTGCATATTTGGAATAGAAATGAAAGAGCAACAGATTAAATTTAAAGTTAATTGTCACATTTCCTTACAGCTAAAGCTTCTTTGAGCCGATAGTGATGATGATAATTACATATATGCATAAATACATACATAATTTACGAATAATGGGCGAAATGTGAAGTGTTTGCTATAAATATATATGTACATGCATAAGTAAATGTGCATATGCAAGTTCAAAGTGTATAGTAGATTCATACAAATATACATACATACGTATATGCAATACCGAAGAGAGTGTAATGTACGAGTAGAAAAATGTGATAAGTAAGTTTTCGCGAAAAATGCATGTCTAAAGTAGACGAAAAAACAAAACTTTGGCAGAATTCTGTACAACTGGCAGACGAAGAGACCGACGAAAATAATAACAACTGCGACAACAAATAAATAAAAGCAGCGAAAACACTAGCATACATATGTATGATACGTTTGTACAACAAAAGTTTTTGGAATATCAACCATATCAACTAGCCAGCGAGACAGTACGCGGACAGGGGGTATGGATATAGCGACTAGGTCGCCTCATTTGTTTGTGGTTGTGTTAGCGCTTTAACCCCCTTTGGCGCCCAACTTTATCTGTGAGCGTGTGTCGATACTTTCGAGTCGCGACGACAAACAGACGAGACAAAAGTCTGCCTCTGCGTCTCCCATATATGTATGTATTTTTAGTGTATTTTCTAATCAGAAGAAAAAAGCAACAAAAAAGCTAGTGCAATAAAAACAACAACGATAATGACTGCCGATGGCGGAAAGCAAAAAGTGAAGCAAAAGAAGAACCGAAGCGAATGAAAATCAGACTGAGAGAGAGAGCAAAACACGCGCCATCCATGTACGCGACCACCGATGCCGACGCCTGTCGCCAATCAAACCAACACACATACGTATCACAGCATCGCAGTCGCAGCTTCGCTCTTTGGGGCTTTTAGACGTCGGTATTCGTTATCGTTCTCTCATTTGGTGAGCTCCACCAAAATAACAAAATACAACTGAAGCAAAAGCAAAAAGTGGCAGTGCACATCGCGCCACAGCGAGCGGGAGAATTATTTGTGCGCTCGCAGCGAACACGAGAAAGGGATACGAAGAGAAGCAGCAGCCGCGAAGCAGTACTATTGGCAGAATCCACTTGGATTTTTGACATTTCAGCCTCAGAGCGCCACAATTTGGTCATCAGTCGAACGGTCAGTCGTAAGGTCGTTTGTTTGGCGCACTGTTCTGCATGCGCACGATATCTAGATAAAAGCAGTACAACAAACGCATAGCAGATAAACATAAATACATACATATAAGTGGATTTAGGGAGATGCGTCTATTAGTCCAATGGCAAAAGTGCCAAACCACATTCATACATACATACATCCACACATCCATACATACATACATATATGCAGATGTGCAGTGATTGTAAATATTCAGTGCAAAAGTGTGTAAAAAATATCTTCCAAAAGTTTTCAAAAATCACTAAAGAATTGTGAGTGTTTCAAAAGGCGATAGCAACCCAGTGATAAATAGAGAAATTTGCAATTGCGGCTTGGCTAGCGATCATACTCTGAGTAATCAGAAACACACTCAAAATACCATGTATGTACATATGTACATAAATACATATAAAATTATGTGAATTAGCCACTAAAAGCAACCAAGGAGGGAAAGAAGTATAAAATCAAAATAAAAACATGAGAATTAACGAAATTTTTCTACTTCTTACTGTGCCTGAGAGTTTAAAAATAACCTCACAGTTTTTTAAATTCTTTGTTTTTATTTGTTGTCAGTGCGCTGTTTCTGAAATTCCGTCGCTGCCAAAACCGGGCTGTGTGCGAAGTGCTGCGCAAAGCAAATAAAACGAAACTAGCAAATAACAGCAACACAGGGGCGGGAGAAGGCTTGACGTAGCTGTGAAGAAGCCTTCGCGTTGTGTGTCGCTGTCGCTGTGTTTGAAAAAGCTCGAGTGTGAAATGCCGACGGATTTGTATGCGAAAATAATTGAAGCTGCGATGAAATAGAAATAATGCAAGAGTAGAATACATAGTTTTATAATTCATCGTAAGCGCACTATAACGGCACCAAAATAATATCAAAAATGAAAAATAATTTATTAATAATTAGTTAATAAAATGTGTCAAAAATAAAAAAGTGCCAAAGTGTTGAGAAAGTTTATATTAATTTTCCTGGTGGAAAAGTGTGAGTTCCGCTGTAAAGTTTCAGCTGGTATTTAGTCGCATTAGTAATTCTACATTAAAATATATTGCAATCAATTATGACAAATGTAACCATACCGGTTCACAGCCAAACACTGCTGTGAGTGCGCGAAGCTACAATTGAAGAAAAGTCCGTAATCCATTTAAACTAACACCGCATTTGGATATAACGAAGAAATCTAGCCCTTCCATCACCTCTGGGCAGGGACTAGGGAGAGGCTCTAAAAGATCACTGGGAAAAAGATGACTGAGTACGTTACGCCAAATATACACACAGTGCTCAAAAAGTATCAGACAAGTGCACCAAAAAGTTTACAGGGGCCTGGTCATGCGCTAACCGCCGCCGCCGGCTGCCCTACCGGCCCTAATTGCCCACTCGATGCCAGTGCATTTGCTGGTGCAAGTGGCAGCGGCGGTAGCAACGCTGACCTAAACATCGCTGGTGTGCGCAACCTTTGCGGCGCGCATCTCTCGTTGGGTAATCTACCATCCAATACTACGACAAGTGGTAACCATAAGCTATCGCCCCACTGCCCTCATATTGCGTCTTCATCATCAGCCTGCTCAAGCTCACCGAATTCGGGCACTGGTTTGCCACCGGCTGCAGCGTTAATCAAAAAAGAGGTTCTCAGTTCACCCGAGCCACATGAACTGGGCGACATATTACCGCCACAAACGCTGCCGCTACCGTTGTCGATGTCGTCACAAGTAACACAATCCCAATCACAAACAGCTTCTACTCAGTCATCCATCACGACAGTTAAGATCATACCACCGCCACCGCCAGAATTGTCACAACCCATCTTTACCGCACCAGACTCGGGCTCGGGTGTGTTATATGAAACGCGGCTTGAAGGCAAGACGATTGGCTGTTTCTCACTAGGTGGCGAGATGCGTTTATGTTTGCCGCAGTTTCTTAATAATGTACTTGCCGATTTTACGCTCGACCAAATCAACCGAATATTTGACGAATTGGGAATTTACTGTTCACAATGTACGCCCGATCAACTGTCGGAATTTAAAACAGCCAAGATATTGCCGCCAGACGTGAAAGCGTCCGGTCTGATAACACGCACCGATGCGGAGCGTTTGTGTGCAGCTCTATTGCATCGAATCGACAGAAATAGTTACATCAGTGATGAGGACATACCGAAAGGTGCCATCTCATTCAAAGTATACCATCGCTGTTTCGGCAAATGCGACGGTATTTGTACTCCCGATTTGTACTCATACACCAAGCCAACTTGCATAATGTGTCTGGAGTGCAAAGGCTGGTTTTCACCGCAGAAGTTTGTTGGCCATGTACATAGGGAAGTGGAAAATCGCACATGCCATTGGGGGTTTGATTCGCGCAATTGGCATGACTACCTGCATGTGGCGCTGGATGTGGAGAATCGCGAGAAATACCAGAAGATACTCGATGAGTTGAAGGAGGTCGAGATCAAGGAAGCCCTCAAGGCACAAAACGAAATGCTTTACATGAAACGAAAGGTATGTTATCAAACAAATATTGGATGTTTTTAAAAACAAGTGAAGCTCTTTTCAAAGTGTGATCATTTGCATTTAGAATGAGGGGTTATGTTGTTATTGGAAGTGCTCTTGTTTAGATGTTCAGAAATATTCAGTTCAATTTAAACGTGTATGCATGTACATACATACATACATACATACATATATAAATACATATAAACTTGAATGGTAGAAATAAATATTTAAAACACCGACTGAACCACTTATCCATGCTGATTGCCTTACCAGTCAGCCGAGCTCTACCCTCAGTCAATCAACCGATAGGAGTAATACACATATACATATACACATCATACAGGGTGGGTCAAATGAGGCATTTAATTGTTTAACTGTTGCAGCTTACAGAATTCGGAAAATATTCAGTTCGTGGTCACCGATTAGCGGATTTCCATTTACGTGGATAGGCCAATGGGATCGAAGAACTCAGCCCCGGAAGCACACTTCAGCTCGGAGTCGTGGCTGGAAAAGAGTTCTAATGAAATGACAGAAACAATGAGGGAAACTACGAGCCAGTGTCTTACGGCGCACCCTGTCTGTACGTAAGGCTCGGTGTGCGAAATAAACACAAATATTATTAACCGGTTTTCGGGCGAGACTGTGTCGCTTGGCTTTGTCCCGACTTCGACAATTTTTATTCCATTTTATTTTTGTCGTTGTTATTGTCGCTGGTCTCTGGCCGTTTATGCGAAGATCAAGTGTGCGTTCAAAAGCGCAAACGGTCAAAATGCTTCGCGAATAGTGGAAAACAAAAGAAAAAAACTATTAAGTACCAACAAATACCAAAAGCGAAATAGCAAAACAGCGACGGACCCATAAGCTGGACGACAACAATGGCCACAACAACAGCCAGCAGAAATTTTGCAATGATAAAACCGCATCGCACATAAACTTGAAATGCCAACGAATGGGCGACCGTCTTTGAGCATCCGCACTTGTGGGTAAATTCGCACACACACACACACACACACACACATCTATATACAGACGTACACGTATCCACACGAAAGTGTTTGCATACTAGCATATATATACATACACGTATGTATGTATGTACCAGTGTGAGCAGGCAGTATTGACACAGTAAGGTTGAGGAGATTACTTAGGAAACTAGGCGAGTCGACGAGCCCCATATGTATGCTAGCAAAGGTCTATACATATGTATGTATGTACGTATGTATGCATGTACACAACTCCTTAAATGTATGTGCTTATGTGCAGTGGAGACTAGATTAAGTCAGACCGAGCCGGGTCGATGGAGACCAAAATGCGACGCGCAAAACGTGCAAGACAGCATTGGCGGCAACGACCAGACGTCGGTAGGCCAGTGGAGACACGTTTTCAAGCCAAAGCTCTGCTTCATTCGGTATATGTGTGTGCCTGTACATGCTTTTTGTTTATTTTTGAGTTTTTACGAATACAAAAAGTTTCTTGTTTTTCGTTTTTCGTTTTTGCCGTGTCCGTAACGGCCGTAATTCTTTTTCGAGCGCTGACAGTGAATTCGATTTGGTTTTATTACTACGCCACAACCGTGAGCCGCAGCTCAGTTAGTCGGTCGTGCGGTCGCTCGGTCGCACGGTTCAACATACAAAGCGCGAATTCGCGTGCTTCTTTGATACTTTTGGACAGGTTGTATTGATTGTGGACCGACAAGTTTTGGGATGGTGTTTGGGTTTTGCGTGAATATTTTGCATACTTTGGATTTGTTTTTGGTTCGGTTTTGAGTCCACGCTCATACGTTAATGCGACGAGTTTATTTTGGTTCTTGGCAGTTTTGCGTCGTAAAAGTGTATCTTCTGGGCAAACGACTCGTTTTGGTGTGGAAAAATAGCTGGGTATTTTCGTTTTGAGCAACCTAAGTTTTCTTTGTGTAAAACAAAAGACATTGTAGAGTTAAACAAAGAAAGCAACGGAATTTGCCAAAAGATTATGTTTGATATTGCAAAAAGGTTCAACTTCTCTAGGACGATTTCTAATCGCCTTTTTTAGTCTACTCTTTTCAGAATACCAAAGTTTTCTCATTTTATCACACGTAATTTTGTTTAGTTAGAAATATGTTTATATGTATGTATATATATACGCTCTCTTTTCTCATTGCCCTCAGTATACAATACAATGTCGATGCCAATGCCCAAGCTAGAGCAGCCATCAAATGGTAACGACATCCTTTTTGGGTTTATATATGTACAGGGTGCTTCATCATTTACATATGTCGGTATGTAAACATTAAATAATTTTGAGAAAAAACACCAATTTCTATAAATGATGTATTTGTATTCAGTTTGGTTTCTTACAATTTTTTTGGACTAATTTTTGAAAACAATATCAATCAAGTGGCAACCTTTATTAGCAATTACAAAATGACTCCTTTTTTCTGCGTTTGCCATTACCTTTCCGAGCATCTCGTGTGTTATAGCGTCGATTTCAGCACGAATGTTTGCCTTGAGCTCATCAATAGTTTGAGCCGGGTTGGTGTAAATCTTGCTTTTCAGATAACCCCACAAAAGAAGTCCAGGGGGTTAAATCAGGTGATCTGTCAGATGGTGCCTTTTATTCGGTTTTTTTTTTTCCACATGCACGTTGAGTTAGCACAATAAAACGACTCTTTTCGATGCCAAGTTTCCCTATATCAGCGCGTGGTTTCGGTGTGAAGCGATCCATGGCCAAAACTGTAATAAATTGGCGTTTCCAAAACTTATCTGATGCAATCGCTCGATTGGTCAATGTGAAAGTTGTTCAGCGGAGCACCCTGTACATATGTAAGTATGCGAGGCAATTTATAGCGTTGCTGACGAAGTACTTCCTATCGCGTATTGATAAACAATACAGAATTATGTTACTTCCTTACACTTAATATGTGAGTGTGTCCTTCAGTCCATTTCCGTTGGCGTAACACAATGCTTGGCTGTACGATTGCTAAGTATGAATCTAGGTTCACTCATTACCGTCTAAATGGCTAAATAACACAAGCCTACACGTACTAATCAGTAGACTAAGCCACGGCGGCAGCAACTAGCGCAGTTATCTGGGCTCTAAGTGGCAAGTGGTTGACCGCGCAAACAAACTTCAATGCAGACGACCCACAGCAGCGGCTGTGCTTAATATTTGCTCGCCGTCATGTACTATGTGCAAACGTTTGAGTTGCGCTTTTCCCTTCCTCTTTTGCCCCTGTTTTGCCAGAAAAATACACATCCACATAGCATGATTAGACAGGTGTGCTTTCTGGCAGTCTGTCTTTAGCAAATACCAAGCTCTATGGCTCTCCCTGACTTTTTGCTTAGGCCCAGAGTTACCTGCATAAATCGCTCTTTTCAGACTTCGTGTGTACGTTTTTATGTACATCGCCTTGTTTTGCTAGATTGTTTACTTGTGGCGCCTGGTCACTTATCAACCGTGATGCGGGCTCGTTTTTCGATTAACCGTCCAACCGTTCGCGCATGTTCAGCTTATAACCTTTAATAGTTGTCAGTGCTCCGCATCCGTCTACTCAAAATTATCAGTTTGTTTCAGTGTAACGGAGGTTCTGCTATTTGCTATAACCTCAGTTGTTCCAACTCATTTTATATCAAGTTGTCATTCTCCTCTGTTAATATACTCCGCCGTTTCAAAGTATATTAAATTTGTTCTTTTCACAGGCAGCGGAACTACATTTGTGTCTTGTTGTTGCTGACTGCAACGATTTGCAAGAGTTTCGAGAAGACTTAGTCATTGTCGAGAGAGTAGAGGCGCATCATTGCACTTAGCTAGCCGGCAACTTTACTTCTTAAGTATATTCGATAACAAAGTTGTACAGTAGCTGTGGCCTCCCGTTAGATGACACGACGCCGAATCGTACGGGACCAAAGACGTTCATGTATTTTTATTTGCTATGCATTTTTGCAGAATTATTGCTTGAAAAATGTTGTGTGCAATTTTCGGTAGAGCTCCTCCTCCGATTCGTGGTTTTGCGTCCTGTAGTTCTTGCTATGCGGCCTCCGAACGGCTGATGGTGTTTTATGAGGAGCTTTATTTCCTGATATTTCCTGTCAAAAATACACTCGGAGGGGTTGACATTTCCGGCCGAGGGGCGACCGCAATTAGAAATATTATTTTAATTTTTTATAAATTTTTGGATGTTAATACGTCACCAGGATTTGAACCCGAGCTCTCCGAATGGCAGCACGCAATGTTAACCACTCGGCTACCGTGGTCGCCTAGTCAGTGTATTAGTATGCATACATATATGCATTCACGTATAAGTTTTTATTTTCAAACATTCCCCCTTACCGTCTGTCCGAGACAATGCTTTTCAGTTCAAACTATGAAGTTCAAAAGACGAGTAGCCATAAGTTTTGTCTACCTGTTTGATTGTGCATCAACTGAAAACCGAAATCATAACCTAACCTTATATACATTCATAAGTATGTACATATGAAGAAGCTGAAGTTTTGATGGAGCCAATATGAATTTAGTGGAAAGTGTTTTGAGAATGCAAGAATCTACCATGACAGTGAAGTCAGAGAACGCACGAATACGCATACCTTCTGCGGAAGGAGCGTAAGTCAGTATCAAGGCTGTATGTTACAATCCAATAATCCAATCCAGAGCGCACCGAAATCGCTTTTGCTGCTGTCAAACAGAGTATCCAAGATCCAAATGAGTCCATTCGCCATAGCGTACAATAATTGGTCGCTATTAGGTGTGCTCAATGGGCAGACGGAATCATACAGAAAAGAAACCTGTGGTGTGACATCCAAGACAAAGCCGATCGACGCTTCAGAAAGGAATATTCGCCGTGCTACCGATGGTATACGGCCCCAATTGCTGGAAAAAGTTGTCGAAAATCGGGACTCTAGGCTGAAATTTATTCGACGCATATGTGCGAACGCATGCATGTGTGTACATACAATAAATATGTATGTCGTTTTTGGATTAGAAACATATTCAGTTATGCAAATTGAAAGTCAAGTTTAACGGTTTCTTTG